GATTTAACTCTTGACCCTACCTTCAAATCATATTATTCCTCCGCCTTCTAGATGTTTTGGGCCGAGATATCAATTAGCTTAACCTACGGCCTGGCTTAAACTAGTAAGTATATTCTCCCCAATATCCTTAACCTGAAATGTTGGTCTGACTTCATTGCATCATCAGTCCTCGAACCTTAGTTCATTTAGTTTTTCTCAATTACATGTTGAAAATTGACCTTAAGTGAAAATCTCAACCTTTAATGCTTAACGATAGTGAGGCTATATATCATCATACAATATGTTAGCTTTTCTCAATATACCATTAGTACTTTTGTTGTCATCAAATAAACATTTTAAATTTTAATATATGTTTATTCAAATTTCAAAATTAAATAAAAAATTTGGGCTGCAGATAATTCTTTGCCCAAAGCGATCGCCCATTTTGCCTCGTCTCTTATTCGAACTTAGATAAACGTAAAGTTAATTTCAAAGATTATGTATTCTACTCAAATGAAGATGTATGGAATTGTTAATAGGAGTGAACACTGACAAGCCCCGGAGGCAATAACTTACTATCTTTTAACAAATTAACAGATATGTTTGCTTGACTTAGATTTACTATCTTTCTTTTCTCTATTTTATTTAGTTTATCTTCTATATATTTATTTTAGGAAAAATTACCTAAAACCCTACAATTAAATATTAGTTTTCATAAACAAGGGGGTTAAGAGGGCGTTTGACCCCTATTTTTATGAAAAAATACATTTTAGAATAGTAGATTGATGGAAAATGTGTAGTTGAAAAATAAGATTTTTTTTATTTACGTGTAATATTATTTTAATGAATAATGTATGGTTGAAAAGAAAAAAGAGAAAAATGTATTTTGGAAAGAATGAAAATCAAACAAGGCTTAAGTTTCGAATTTAGATTTCAAGTGGTAAGTATGATTATTAATTGTAACATATAAAAAATTAATTATATCTAAGAACTTCATTTCTAAACTCGATAATTTTTCCCATCTCTTCTTTCTCTAGCACATCCCTTCTCTCTTTATATATCATCTTCTTTCTCTCTATCATAGACCATCATGGGAGATACTGTGGCCACCATCGACGATGCTCACAATGTCGTCGATGCCACTGCAAGTGACATCCACCAATCTACTAGATGTGGCCCTGAAACCACAATCCCATTGACGACAAACCTCATTCCTACACTCTTCTTCTTCTATATCTTTACCATCAATCTACCCATCTCCACGCATCGCTTTGTAACATCTATCAGATGCCACTGTAGGAATCAAAATCATTATAAGATCTATTTAGTTTTTTTAGAGGATGGCATGCCACCATTCGAACTCGAACCGATATGCTCTAGTACTATTTTATAAGAGACGCTACTGCTGCAAGCATCGACACCTTGTTCTGCTGTCGCTATAGAAATGAGAGATCGAAAATATTTCATCCGGCTTAGCACCTTACTTCATCGTCCTTAATTTCCAACCATCCCCATATGCTTGGCACAAGTACTAGCTTAAAAATGAAAAAAGTAAGGATGAAGTCACATCTTTAACTCACATTGGAAATTGGTCTCGTTGGTTTCAAATCGTCTTCTCAAATGTCTTGGTAATGAACTTAGTTGCAATGGGCGTTCACTATTCTTTGTTCTAACTAGGATTTTGATGTATAAAAAGAGCTACATATTCATAGGATTTTTATCAAATCTATTGTTTAGCCCGGGTTTTGGGATGGATGTTGGTGTTTTGCAAATGGTGCTGGTGATATTCTAATTTGTGGTTTCGTTCTGTTGTTGTTGTGTTGGTTCTATTGGTGGTGTGTAGGTGGTTATGGTTCTATTGCTAGTGGAGCATGTGATCTTGGTGAGAGTGCGTGTTTGGTTTTTGACGTTGTTGGGAGTGGTGGCGACGATGGAAATCGAGGATATCAAGTTTATTTTCATTGTGATCGTCGGTGACCAAATCTATGTTAACTGTTACTGCATGTGGTTACACACAATCACAAATTGCAGTGACCTCGCCGCAAGACAATCACACTGAAGATAAGTTTTGGTCATAGCTAGTCATATATAACACAAGTGAGCAAATGTAGTATTTATGGTCGTGAATTTGAGTAGAAGGTGGTAGTGGTGGTGCATTGAAGGTAATGGTGGTGAATTGTGGTTTCTAGTTTGCAGTATGGGATGGAAGGGTGTAGGGGTTCCGTGGGCTGGGGGTGTAATATCTAGTTTTCATTTTTTGTAAATTCTTTAGAGGTGTGGTCCCGTGGGATGGGATATAATCTCTAGTTTTCAATTTCTGAAAAATCTTCCGGAAGGTTTGGTAGAGGTGGAGTGGGAGTGAATATGTAGATTAAATTTAAATTTGTATTATTATCATCATCATCATCATTATTATCTATCACCTAATTTATAAAATATTTTAGGGAGCTTATTAATTGTAAAATGTGATTCCTATGTGTAAGATTCATGTATCTTTCCCTTTATTTTAACTAAAATCGAAGGTCTTCATTTTTAAAAATAATTTATTAATGGTCAAAAGTAATAAAAACTGTAAGTATAGCTAGTAATGGAGCTAAAATATTTTATTTGGGGGGCAAAAATTATATAGCAAAAATAATTAAAAATAATATAACTATAATTGTTCCCAACGTGTTTCTATATTTTGAAAACGTCATATAATTACATCATTATCAATTTTGCTAAATATATCATTCTCGGTGTATACAATTAAACTGTCATTCAATTACCGATCTTCAATTCGATTGTACAATTGAGTCTTAACAAGATTCATTGTAGAAAATATCATCTCAATAGTAGCAATAGCAATTGGAAGAATCAATGCCAACGTCACAAGCCTATATTAGTGGATACACTTCATTTTTATCTTCGTCGCAATCACTTTCTTTGCGAGATCACTAAGACCCAGTAATCCTCCAAAATTTTCATCCGTGCGCATATCAAAAATATATATTTGAAATTTTTTATCAAGCGTAGAAAAGACCTGTTAGTAAAAAATCTTCGAAATTTACTCTCCAACTTAGATTAATTGAAACCACATCATCACGGCTTGATATGCAATTTATTTAACGAAGATTTTACTATCTAAGTGACTCTTTTTCCTTTTTTTTTTAAATTAAAAAAGTCAGAAATTTTGGGTGGACCACCGATAACCATTGTCTATGTGTGCCTTTGTCCTTGAGTATAACACGAACTAACTATGCTATAAAATCAGAAAAAAGGGCAAAATCATTTGTACATAAAAAATGTACATCATTTTTGACATCATTTAAGTTTGAGTAATAATATGTAGTCCCCCACTGAAATTACAATCCCAATATACGTAACATTAGATGATAGGTTAAATGAAATGTGAAATTAAATAACTTATTTAATTTCACCTATCAATTAATGTCACGTTAGTGCCACTTAGATTGTGGTTGCAACCATAGTGGGGCTAAATAGCATCACTCTTTGAGTTGATAAGATTTGATTGGTGAAAAAATATATTTTTTAAAAAAATTGTCCAATACCATGGTGCTACGTGACATGATGTAACAAATGATGTATACGTAACATGATTGTTGGAAAAAAATATACCAACGATCAAGTTGTAGACGTAGGTTAAGGATTAATTATGACACAATGTGTTCAGCATTGTTTGATTCCCATTTTAAGGGATATAATGCATTTTGAATAGCAGATTATAGATAATGTGTGGTTAAAAATTTAAGAAAAGTTCTAAATTTACGTTTAATATTATTTTATTGATGAATGTATCGTTGAAAAATGAGTTTTGAAAAAATAAATTTTTAGAAGAATGAGAATCAAACAAGGGTTCAATAGTTTGAAATTTGAGTATGAAGTATGGCTGAACAACGAAACCATCAAACCGCAAAACCACATCAAAATCTTTTTTCTGAAACCGTTAGTTTGGTTCTACGTGAATCTGTCAATATTTTGGTTTTGAATCGAATCAAACCGCTTGATTTAGATTTCAATCTTTGCAAACCGTTTACTAAAAAAAAAAATTGAAAATAAATTAGTCTAAATTTCACTTAACTCAATTAAAATTTAACAAATTTTAGTTAAAAATACATCTATATCAGATATAATTCAATTAAACTTAATTCGACAATTATACATCTCAATTAACTAATCGTATCCAAATACTCATGAGTTATCACAACTATGAATGTAAAATCCTCAAATTGGGTAAAGTGTTGAACGACTGATGCTAAACCACATTAATTGATTCTCAATTACAATTGAGCAGACAATAAAATTTAGATTTTAATTCAAACGTGCACATTTCATTTCTTTCTAATAAATTTCTCAAATTGAAGTTAGATTATCAAAATTCTTTTATTTGTTGGCAATTATTTTTATATTTTTATTGATAGTTATGTTGTTTTGTTCTAATACTTGTCGGTTTGTTGATCTCCCTTAAAGTAATTCGTCAATATTTAAATAGAGTTGAAGCTTCGAATGATTCACAAAAAGTCATAGAAGCTAGGTACTATTGTACTTGAATTTTTTAATTCGTTTTCTTTTATTAATTATTTTATATCATTTAACTATAATCAATTAATTCATGTACAATATTTTTATATTTATAAAAAAAATGAATTATGTATTACACTTGTAGATGGACGTAATTAGTATTGACTAAGAGTTTAAAAAATTTATATCATGTTGTTGCTTTATAATGGTTATAATTATATAACTTTGATTTGTAATTTTTTTAATAATGCAATTTATATTTTAATATGAAATTTTAGACTAATATTTATGATTTAATTTATTTGATATTTATATTTTTTTTTGTTAAACCGTAGTTTTAACCTGAATCAAACCGAAAAAAATGGTTTGGATTGGTTTGATGTGAAAAAATTTCAAATCGCGTTAAATGATTTAGTTTGAAAATTTGTCAAACAGTTCAAATCGAACTGTCTTCACATAATAAGGGCATTTTCGTCATTATATCCGTAATTAACAGACTTCCGTCTGGGTATTTGCTGCATCTCTTTCTCTTCTATAATGAGAGATGTAGAAACGAGCTAAAACCCTAGATATCTACATATTGATTCAATTCGATGCAATCCGGGTCACAAAAAGAAATGGGTCGACCCGAACCTTGCGTGCTCTTCGCTCAGACATTCGCTCACCCCAACCTCAAGGAATACGTCGACGAGGTATTTAATAAATTTTCAATTTTCAATTATTTATTTATTTTTGTCTATAGAATTGGAGGGTAAATTGAAATTTTGAATTGATGCTTATGAATTTTTTAAGTTTTTGCTTAAAAAAATTGGCAGCTGAAATTTTATGACTCATATAGTATATATTTTTTACACTAGATCAAAGATGTATAATTCAAACAATGTAACAATGGAACTACGTAATTTGTTAATACTAGTATTCAATTACATGGTCTGACACAATTTTGCTTCGACACATCATTGTGAAAGCATGGTATGGATTCAGGAGGGGCGAGATATGAAAATTGGACCAACGTTAGATTTCTTGTAATTCTTTATGTTAGACAATTTTACATCTAATAGAGAACAGTTCAATAGGACATGGACAAATGTTTGGCAAATACTGACATATACATGATTAATTTTCCTGTTGTGCATTGTCGATCACCATTTGCAGTAAGAGAAGAATAAACACACAGGACTATATATTTTAATTGGATCACCTATCTAAAACCTTCTTTTGCAGTGCGGGAGGCTTGGCTAATTATGTAACCACACCAGGAATTTACTGTAAAAAATGAAATCGTAAATGTTTAGATATGCTGGAATAAGTGGCTACTGTAGGTACAACGTGGAGCAGGATATTATTGTTATTTTTTTAAATGAGCAATTACCCCGGTGGTCCTATTTTACTTTTGCAAAAGTTCAACTTTTAGGGTTAAGAAAAAATTTAAGTTGCTTAATAGTAGAGAAAATCTCAGGTAGGCATGATATCTGTTGAGAATTATAAATCTTAATTTTCTTTTTCCGAGAGGAATTAATTTGAAGAAAGAAAAATAAATACTAAAGAACATGCGAGATTTATAGATGTTCACCTCAATATGAGACTACATCTTCTCTGTCGCTGTAGTAATTCATTATGATGAAAAAAGGTTTATAAGAGAAAATCGCGATCCTATCTTCTCTAGCCCATCTTTGTCTCTTTTTGATTATAATTAAAAAGCCTAAGGACGGTTCCCTATTTATGAGATAAATTAGGGGGCAAAATTGAATTTTACAAGGACTCCAATCTCCACAAGGTGATAATAATTAGGATCGGCAATAATTAAACTCCATAACTTAACATATATCTACTATAATATGGTAGAAATGTTCCATCTTTAAGATGATTTGTTACGGAATACTTCTATTGGAATTTTGTCCTTTATGACCAAGTGATAACTTCGAATAGCATTGATTGTCTCTTCCAACTTCTTTATTCTTAGCCCAACCTTTTTCTTTGATTGTTTTATTGGACTCGCTGACTTTTCCCATCTAGAAATAAACTGACACTCTTAATATTTATTAGTTGAAAAATAACAAAGTCAACAACACAATATATCTTTACCGTAGATAATTAAAGAGGATGGAACATCGTTGATTTTTACCATAGAAATCTAAAGCATGATAAGAACTTAGCTCTATCTCATATTCAGAAACTTCTAGTTAAAATCCCTCAACGATCCTATTTTTTCCTCTTATCAACATTTGCAAAAGGTAGGCAAAACTATTGCTTTCCATGTTAAAAAACCCACTCTTGCCCTTTCGAAATATAATTTCTTTTCGAGGAGTAATCTATTACACCTACTTTTGAAAACCCAATTAAAACCAGCATCTTTAGAAGTGTGTAAAAAGATCAATACATTATGAATTGTTACAACTTTGTACACATGAAGAGTATAGACAGAAGTACAAACATTTTTTTTGAATCAATCGCGTATATTAGAGCGTGTTTGGGATAGCTTTTATTGATATGATGCAAGAACAAGAATTTAAAATTTTTGTTTAAAATCTCCGTTAGATTAGTAATTTTTTTGTTTGGAGTAGGGGTGTAAGCGGTCCGATTTTACCGGTTTTTGACAGATTTTCAAACCAAACCGTTTAAAATGGTTTGAAAAAAATCCAAACCTAAACCAAACCATTTTGAACGGTTTGAAAAAAACTCAAACCTAAACCTAACGGTTTGGTCCGGTTTTAAACCGCCAATTTCGCCATATAATTTTTTGCCGGTGTACTTTTATATCATTAATTCATTGAATTTAATATATATTTATATCTCACTAGTAATAAATCTAAAACAAACTAAGCCCTTGTTTGAACCAAATTTTTGAGACAAAAAAATGAAATTTTGGACCGTTATTCCACAAGTGTAGCCGTCTTTGTTGATCTGCTATTTTATGTGTGGGACCCAGCCTCCTCTCAATAGTCAATTTTCTCATTATGATGATATGGAAAATATGGCTCAAATAGGAGCTAAATATATCTACTATAAATTTAAATATTAACTAAATCAAAGTGAAATCACAATAAACTAAAACATAGTTTTTTTTCATTTTTGTTCACCTTTTTTAGGCTAATGACGATATAATAATGTAACAATACAAGTTTACTAAACTAGATATAAGGTTTAAAAAATATAATGATACTGATTAAACAAAGAAAATAACCAACCACAATAATAAAGCAATTATTTATAATATCTAAACATAACAATTACACAAGTTTACGTTTGTATGAGTTACGAAACACATTTAATTTCAAATTCTTACCTTAGTTTGCTCCAAAAAATTATTGATCTGAAACTTTATTTGTAGCAAATATTATCACCGAAGGTCTAGGATCTCTTTGTCTCCGATTTGGTATAATGGACTTCAATTCAAATTTGAAGAGCGTGAAAAATCTGAAAAAGAAGTGTGTGGTGCCGGTGGCTCAAAACTGTGTTGGGTGTCGATTGGAGTTCATCTAAATTTTGAAGAGGAAAAAGGCTTTTGATAGATTATGTTAGTCTTGAAATTATTATATATATATATATTAGGATTATTGGATAATAATAATAATAATAATAATAATAATATATCTGTATTATAAAATTAGGAATTGCCAAAAATACTCACAAATGACAAAACTATTGAATTTTACATATTTGGATGAATTTTCAAAAAATTTCATTTTTTTCATTTTTTTATTTTTATATATTTTTTCGCTAGTCCGGTTTGGTTTCAAACCGTAATTAAAATTCTCAAACCTAAACCAAACCATTTTGACCAGTTTGGTTTGGGTCAAAACCATTTCGTTGACCGGGTCCACATGGCACCAAACCGACGGTTTCTAAAATGCGGTTTCGGTTTAGTTTTCCGGTTTTGTGATTTTTGCTTACAGCCCTAGTTTGGAGTGTTTGCATCGCATTTCGTTTAGGGTATAAACTATAATTGGGATTTTTTGCCGGCTGTCAAAGATTTCCTTGTTATAGTATTCGATTTTGAATTTTTTTCCGTGATTAAGGATTTCTTAGTTACATTAGGCTTCGGACTTCTATATGTTTAAGTTTTCCAAGTTAGAATGGTTTGGAGTCCATAAGATTGGTAGGGCCTATGAAAAGGCGAAAATGTTCCAACATAATTTATCTTCATCAGTCGGACTAGTTTCATCCTGTGTCACCATCAAACTTTTACACTGAATGGTTTGGAGTCCTTAAGGTTGGTAGAGCCTATGAAAAGGCGAAAATGTTCCAACATAAGTTATCTTCATCAGTAGGACTAGTTTCATCCTGCGTCACCATCAAACTTTGACACTGACACATCAACATTGTCTACAATCATCACCATGTCATCCTCATTATCTAGAAGATAATACAGATAGAGATGTAAACATAACGGAACAATTCAAATAGCTGAATTGAATTAGAACGAGGCCTTGAGTTGTCAGTATTATGAAGTTCTCGTCCTCCATATTTCTTCGAACTCTAATAATCAAGTCGTCCTAACACTTCTCGAATTGTCCTAAACTCCATTTCCTATCATTCTTGGTTTACCCAATTCTCTTAGTCACCCTCATTTATCCTCACAGTCACAGGACCTGGCGGTTTGGCTCAAAAGTATAATTGCCTGCTTTAGCAGGTTTTGGTCATTAAACCCATTTTGTTTTTTCCTCCTCTTTTGCTTTTGAATGTGCTTTTGCCTGCCTAGCCTATTGTCTCCATCAATCTAACTCTGGCCCTTTATGCTTCATGTGACATTTTATTGCCTCTTTCAGTTATTTGCTTAAACCTTAAGCCAGTTCTCTAGACAACAAAAATCAGTCCCCTTGCTTGTTCATGTTTGTACACTAGAATTATGCACGCTAACACGCACATACACACAAAAAGATATTTTGCTTCTTGTGTTCCCCCTTGAAATGCTATGTACTTATATGAAATCATTACTGGTTTTGGAATTGAAATATTTTGTTAATTGTTGCAAGTGTTCCTCCTCTGTTTTCACCCCAGGTGTTATTTGCGGAGCCTGTAGTCATCACTGCTTGTGAGTTTCTTGAGCAGAATGCTCCGTCAGCTTGTTCTTCGGTGAAACTTATAGGGTATGGTGGCTATCCATCTCTCTACATTTTCCACGGAATTAATGTCTAACCTAACGATCTATATTACCGCTGATATCATGTCTTGAAGGAAGGGATCAAATGGTTTCTGTTCAGTTTCTTTAATTTCTCCCAGATTTGGCATTTACTTTGGAGGGCCACTTCACATCCCTCATTTAATTTTCTTTACTTTACAGGGCCACTTCACCTCCCTCCTTTGCATTGGAGGTTTTTGTTCATTGTGAAGGAGAAACAAGATTTAGGCGGCTATGTCAGCCCTTTCTGTATTCTCATTCATCATCAAATGTACTTGAAATAGAGGTATTCTCTAAAACTTAAGGGTTTTCCAATTTTTCTTTTTTACGGATCTTATTCTGTTTTAGTAGTTGATGTTCTTGAATCTTGATACCACTCTGATATGGTCATAGCTGCACAGTGTGAGAGCTTTTCATCGATATGGTTTTGATGGGTCCTTGTACTCAATACAGATTATGGTTCTATGAAAATTATTTTGTTCAACTTGTGCAAGGCCTCCAAAAAGTGGGGTGTTTCCATTAAAAGAAATAATACGACGCAATAAAAATATATATCTGGCCTAGCACAACTTCATACAGTTGAAGTTATGGCAGGTGGTTGCTCAATTTGATAGCCAAAGGGCAAGACAAACAACTAAGATTGATCTAGCATGATATGAAATGATTTTGGGACATAAATGAGATCTGTCCAGGCTCGGTGGACAGTACTTAGCAAGTTTAATTGTTTGAGAAAACAGGTTTACTGGAATAGACCTAGTATTTATATGCCTATAAGATTCCTGCAACTAGGATGAGGAATAGAGCCCAAAATAGCGAACTGCTGATTTCCTGCTTCTAAGATCAATCCCTGATTAGTAAGGACTTCAAAGTGAAATCAAATAATAAATTAACAACCATGGACCCAAAGTATGGGACATTGGGAAATCATGGAAATACATTAACATATCTGATGAGATCAGCTAAAGCTCATCTATAGTCAATAATCCATTTTAAAGACTAATCAACAAGGACATTTTCCTTTTAGACATTACAGAAAAGTAAATCAATTACTAGATACCTCTGAAAGCCTATATGGCATCCACAAGGACGAAAGACTGGAATAGAGCTAACACAAAATATTCATAGATATATAAAACAAACTACTGAAACAACGCAAGTCGAGCTGTAGAAGTCATAGAACATCATTAATAGCTACAAATATACAAGAAGGATCAGCCTCTTGGTGGCAGTGCCAAACAAATTCTTGGGCTTGTGTAACACATTTCCTCCTTTTGTAAATCATTGACATCTTTCAGTTAGTCTATGCATGCATTTTGCTTATGTGAAAATCTGCTAATTTTGTGATTCGTCATTTTTTTAAATTACTTGTTCTCTTTGTTATCCCTTTGCAGTCTGTGGTGACAAACCATCTGGTCATAAGGGGCAGCTATCGCACCTTAAGTATGGTCATATACGGGAACACAGCTGAAGATTTAGGCCAATTCAACATAGAAGTTGACCTAGATAGTTCTTTGACGGATAATGTTAGTGCTATTGAGGGAAAACTCGAGGACCTTCCTCCTGCATTTCGTCCAATGAAACCAACAATTGAGGAACTTGTGCTTCCCCTGAAAATATTGTCCCAAACAGTTATTGCATTGGATATTCCTCTTGAAATAAAGACATGTTTACATCTAGCTTTTAAGATTTTGGGGTCTCTGAACCTTGGGGCAGCAGCAGATAAAGTTCTTAGTTCCTTGTTATCAGTGGCCTCAATTTATGCAACTCCTCACCTGTCTTATGAGACTATTAATAAGAAGAGATTAAGCGTAGATATATTGAAAAGTGGCGGTGAGGCTCATCATATTCTTACTGAAGCCCGGAAGGAACTTTCAGATGTTTTTAAAAGTCTTAGATTTCATTCAGGAGGTTCAGATAGCTTATGTTCTGAATATGAGGTTCCTACTCCCAAGGAGTTGGTGTCCACTTTATACGAACACTTTGATTTTTGTGGAAACTCTGGAAATGTTGGATATCCAGAACTTTCACCGGTAACAGGACTTTTTTTATTCTAGTGGCATCCATTTGCATTTTTTAGCAGATCTAACAGAGAAGTGAAACCAATTCTCTCATATCTTTTTTATTTTTCACACAGATGTCAAAATGTTTAAAATGTGAAAGTACTGAATTTTTATTCCTTTTTTTTTTTTTTTTTCAGAACAAGAACACCATAATGTTGTTGAGTGCGGCTCTTTTATTGTGCTCTGCTAGGGAGAGCTGCTTTCACTTTGTTAATTATGGTGGCATGAAGCAACTTGGATATATTTTCTCCCACGGGACTCAGAATTCTACTACTATTACAATCTTTTTGCTTGGAGTTATTGAGCAGGCTACTCAGCTTTCAATTGGCTGTGAAGGGTTCCTAGGATGGTGGCCTCGAGAAGATGAAAGCATCCCTTCTGGTATTAGTGATGGCTATAATCATTTGTTGAAGTTGTTGTTGCAGAATCAGAAGCATGATATTGCTTCACTTGCAACTTACATACTTCATCGTCTGCGTTTTTATGAAGTTGCTTGCAGATATGAGGTACATGCTTCACCTTCCCACTATGCATGACTGGTTCTGCTGTTTTGTTTTATTGGAGTGGGAGGGAGCTCTGGAAGTTTTTTGTGCTCTTGTGGAAGAATTTTTTTTTAACCAGCTTAATTGAAATCATTGCTTTGCTTAATAAAAAATGTCGTATTTCTATCTTGCAGTGTGCAATGGTATCTGTACTGGGGGTTATTTCTTCAGTTGGTCATGCTACAAATTTCACTTTGGACATGCTTGCCAGTGCTAAAGCTCAACTTAAAAAGCTCGTGGTATGTGCCATATAATATGATATTTTAAGCTGTATCTCTAGCATAGTTATCAGCGTGGATGCATGCAAGTTATTCTCTAAAATTGGTCATATGTATTATGCTGGTTTCTTAATTCGTATTTGTTGAGATTTGAGTGGTCATATAAAATATGATAGTTTCTTAGTGCGTATTCGTTGACAAGTATTATTTCAGATATTGATAAATTTGCATGGCCCAATTGAAGACCCTTCTCCGATGGCTGCTGCAAGCAAATATTTTATCCTCGATGATGCTGGACTATTGCCATATAGCAAAACAAGAGGCTTGATTAAACTCTCAAATAGTTGCTTTTCCAATTGGGACATTGACCCGCATTTGCTTTCCCTTCTCAAGGTATGCTGTTGTACTCGTGTTTCTGTAACACATCATGTGCAGCACATTCTTTAATGTGTTCAAGCACCTGCCTCGTCATGATCCATAGTTGCCAAGTCAAGAGAGTAATAAGTTGATGTGTGTAATTCCCTCACGAAGGAATTCACATCCAATGTAAACTAAATAGTAGAAATTGACGATGATGAAAAAATAAAGATACACGTCAAATTCTTGTATTTTGAAGAACCACCACATTAGAGTTGTAGTTATCACAGCTGTAAGCATGAAAGGGTCTCCTCTATTACACGCATATACAATGACCTAGTATGACCTTTATTTTCTTCTGGTTACAATGTTAGCAATTCTCTGAAGCATGTATTGTGAAATATCTATTTACCAATGTTCTAAAAACTTTTCCGGGCATCGACCTAGAACTAGTAAATGGTTTAGGATGCGATAGTAAAAAGAACAACAAAAAATAAATAACAAAATTTAAGTTGAACTGGACGATTTTTAACAGTTTGCCATTTTCTGGTTTTTTCACCTAAAATCGAACTAGTTTCCGGACCTGTTCTTGTTTTTTTTCTTTGTTGAACTGGCCATTTCGGTTCAGTTTAAATGACATTGCTATTTTCCGTCTTGCATGTATTGGCAAGATGTTTGCTGCCTATGCAAGAGAGTATATTCCTTTTCACACTTGTTCTATAACGTGGCAGTTCATTTTATGTTCTCAGTTCTAGATTTGCACTCCATGCAACGGTCCTACTTCAAAATCCATGAATTTGGAAAATCTTGACAACCATTTCCTAATGTTTTACCTGCCTCATAATACAATAGTTATGAATCCTGTCCCAGCCAGTCGTGTCGGATAAACTGCGATGTGGGCCCTTGACTGGGCCTGGTGGCTTATGTGACCGGACTGCAATTGACATAGTCAAGATTCGGTAAACCGAAAGTTTTTCACACCCCCGTCAACCAGCCTGGTTTTTCACCAGTTTTCAAAATTTTAATTTTGCGATTTTGTGGACAGAAGATTTGATCCTTGGACCTCCAACTTATAAGGCTAGCTGGCTTACCAGTGGGACCAGTAATACTTAACCCATGTTTGGCTAATGGTTTTAAACTATTTATAATTGGTCAAACAACTTTTTATTCACACATTTTGTGGATCCACAAATACTACCAGCTCATCCACCACACATTTCTATCGATTTAAAATTTAAACCGTTTTTAAATGCTTCCCAAACATGCATTTAGTTGTCACATATATATAATAAGATATATTAATCTATTTTCATCTAAAAAAAGGTTGGAAAAATTATAATTTAACATTTTATTGGATTTTTTATATCAAATAATTATCTCATGGATTTTGTTATGTATGGAGAAATTATTTTAAATTAAGACGAAAATGAATATATAATACTCAGAAGCTTTTGGTTGATGACTAAAAAATCAAATAATTATCTCATGGATTTTGTTATGTATGGAGAAATTATTTTAAATTAAGACGAAAATGAATATATAATACTCAGAAGCTTTTGGTTGATGACTTGTGTGGTTGTACATAACAAAAATGGGAATACTATAATTTTTTAGAAATTTTATAATATACTAAATTATAAAATTAGAATGTAAGCATTATCAGTAACAATTGTATTTATAATATCAATAATTTATAGATCAAAGAATAATTTGTCTCAAATAACTAAAAACTTTAATTTTTATCTCAAGGAGAAAATTTTATACTTTCAAATTTTTTAAATATAAGCAGCTTTGTCATTTCACCCTTTTTTGGCATGATGAAACTTTTGCTGTAAATTGCAACTTCCTGTGATCCACGGTTGTTTGCTAACCACAAAATGGTGTACATTTTTCTTCTCTTCCTTGTGTTCATTCTTCTATTTTGTTTGATTTCTTTTTTTGGCCGTACAATTAATTTCTCTGTTTTATTGCAAGCAGGAGAGGGGCTTCCTTCCTTTGTCAGCTGCTTTGCTGTCATCTTCTATTTTGAGATCTGAAACAGGACATGCTTTGGACTTATTATTAGATATTGTATCACATATTGAAGCTACAATACTCTCACTTCTCTTTTGTCGCTCAGGTTTTAAGGCTGTTACCTTTACTGCATAACAACATCAATTTGTGAGTTCTTGTGATTTATTTTGCCTGCTTTTCTGTCAGGATTAACTTTTCTTCTACATGATCCTGAAGTCTCCAGTATGATCATTCATGCCTTAGGGGGTGTAGATGATGTTAGGAAGGGAGACTCCATATCTCTTCGGCATGCGTCTGTCCTGATATCGAAGAATTTTTTTTGCCGCCCACAGCAAGTTAGCGTAATCATCGAGATGCATGTTAGGGCGGTCAGTTCCATTTCTAAATAATTTTTGGTTCTTTGCAAGGTTTCATTTTCTGATTTCAGTTTTTCTCATTCTTGATGTACATCAAATTTTTATCTGTCTTGTTTCTCAATGCATCTTGGAGCACAATTGGGTAAGCCTAAAAAATGTGAATGTACATACAACTTTTTGTCCCCAAACATGTTTGGGTAAAAACTTTTGCGTACTTATAATTGAAAAAGTTATTTTGTGGAGTAAACTCATACATTTTTGTCAAAATAATTAACTTAAGTTTCATCTTTAACCTATAATAGAAGTTATGTATTTTAACACATATTTACTTGTACTCAAAACTTCTGAAGCTTAGCCAAACATGCTCTTAGTATATTTTCATATTCCTTTCAAAGGCTCTATTTCCAACCATTTGCAGTTTCCTATGCTCTTATTGCAGATAAATGCTGTAGATAATTTACTTACATTGGCTCCAGATACTGAAGAATTTCTCTGGGTACTCTGGGATCTTTGTCGCCTTTCACGGTAGCACTGAATTGATCTATTTAGAGGCTGGATATATCTGGATTTTGCATTAGCTTTAGTCTTTTGACCAACATTTCTATGATGTATTTCAGCTCAGAGTGCGGACGACAGGCTCTGTTGGCTTTGGTGAATTTTCCAGAGGTATAACATGAGTAATACCAATATAGCTTGTAATGAAATTTCTGTAATATTTCTCAACAATGTGGTGCATAGCCTGTGAATTTGGAGTAACATTAGTGAGCCTCACTAAGTATTTAATTAAAACTGAGATTTATATGATCGTTACTGTTAGTGCTACCATGAACCAGCAATATCAGTTGTTTTATTTGGTGGTGTTTGGAACATATCTGATCACTGGATGAAATTTGTGGTCTCCTTTTTCTGATTCTTGCCATTTTTATATCATCTTGAATGGTAACAGTGTTCGAATTTTTAATTATAATGAACTTTATCTTCTAATTTTGCTGCAGGCTCTTTCAATTTTGATGACTGCATTGCATTCCGGAAGGGAACTTGATCCAGTTGCGGGAGTATCACCACTAAGTCTTGCAATCTTTCATGCAGCAGTGGAGATTCTTGAAGTTATTGTTACTGATTCGACTGCATCTTCTTTAGCATCGTGGATAGATCATGCTAAGGAACTTCACAGGGTATTACATTTCTCCTCACCAGGGTCGAACAAGAAAGATGCACCTGCCCGGCTTCTTGAGTGGATAGATGCCGGAGTTGTTTACCAGAGAAATGGGGCTATTGGTCTCTTACGCTATGCTGCTGTGTTGGCTTCCGGAAGGGATGCTCACATGGCCACAAATAGTGTTTTAGCATCTGATGTGATGGATGTTGACGATGTGGTTGGAAATTCTTCCAGCAATTATGATGGTACCATTATTGATAATTTACTTGGAAAACGTATTATGGAGAAGGATTTTGTTGGTGTCATTCTTCGCGATTCTTCTGTTGCTCAATTGACGACAGCATTTCGAATTCTGGCATTTATTTCAGATAATACAGTAAGAAAATATAAATTAATTCTGTAATGCTGGATGACATGTAGGAGATCTTTCTGGCTAATTCTAGTTTGAACCGTATAGGATGTTGCTGCTGCTCTCTATGATGAAGGCGCTGTCGTGGTTATCCATGCTGTAATGATCAACTGTAAACTCATGCTTGAAAGGGCATCCAACATTTATGGTTAGTAGGGATTCTTGCTGGTGTTGGCAATAATATTTTTCGTACCAAGTTTTTCAAAAACCTTGCAGAAATTTTTGTTTGTGAAAGGTACAATAGGTCATTGATCATACCACTGTCAGTTGACCCGTTAGTGTCAAATCTGTATTTAGTTGCTGGTCATATGAATTACCTCAAATTTAATATTTTCCTCCTGTTAAAGAGCAGCCTGCTGCTTCACCACTATTGCTAACCGTCATCATTGTTATACATGCATTTATTCTGTCCATTCGATAATTGGGATGCAGATGCTACATAATCTTCTAATTTTGAGTACTGCTTTATCACCGACATGTTAATATCATTTTTCGAATCGCATATGGCTTGGAATAATCTGTGCATTTGTTCTTGATTCTGGGGAAGTAAATGGTAATGCACATTAACTTCCTGTTTGCAACATCTTCGGTCTAGAGGTACAAGTCTTCAGTTCATTTCAGGCATGGATATTTTCCAAGACACATTAAAGAAAGTGCTCAGCAACGTCTCCTAGTATTTTGATTCCTTTTATAAACTGAGACGTGGTAGTACATGTGGATCTGAACTCACACTCAGGCATCCTTAAATGAGTGTGTAACATTGCTTTTAGACAAAAAAATCTATGATCGGGCTATTTTAAAGGCACGCTCAGCCAATTCTTTGGATCAAAATGCGAATTTTCAAATAAAAGATCCGGGTAAGAGCACAATGCTAAAAACACACGAGATGCACTTTCACACATGGGGCTGTGCTGGCTAGACTGGTAGTTTCGGAGCTATAGCATTGACGGGAAGCTTTCTCTGATCAAGGGCTGGGGCACAAGGGTCCTGGTACTGTCCAGGTGCGAAGAACCCTGGAGGTCACTGCAATCAGATGGAAACAGTGGATGTTGCATTGCAATGGTGATTGAGATGGCTTGTGAATGTGCGCGTTTGGTGATGTAGTGGTTGTCTTGGTGATGAATTACTAATATGAATGTTCTTGCCATCTCTGGACCCTTCACAAGTTATTCATTTTACTGCAGTATTTCTATATCAATAGCTTCTTTTTTGTGCAACATTTTGTTTTTGTACGAAGGAACCTTTTTTTTTAAGCAAATATATGAAGGAACTTGGTTGTGGTCTGTTTAGTACATTATGCTGATTTCTTCCTAACAGAAATCATAGACTAAAATGAATTGAGACATAAATACAAAGAGAAATTGAGAATTTGTATAACTACCATAATCCTTTCTATGATACCTACCATAATCTTTCCTATAAATACATACCTTAATTTGACCAAGAAGGCTTTACCATAATATGTCCTATACAAAGAAAAGACAACTCGATTTTATCTTCTAAATTAGGAGACAAATAAAACCCCAGCCTTTCTAGGATTTGATTGAACGAGGAAAATTAAATCAAATCTTCCAACACTCCCGCTCAAGCTAGTGCAAATATATTTCTCATTTCCAGCTTTAACTAATGACGGAATATCAAATCTTCAGCACTTGTGAAGACTGAAAACAAGGTTCTCTTCTTATGCAGATTATTTAGTTGATGATGGTACCGAGGGCAATACAACTTCAGATGTACTGCTGGAACGTAATCGTGAGAAGAGCCTCGTTGACCTGTTGATTCCATCTTTGGTCCTCCTGATTAATCTGTTGCAAAGGATAAAGGTTAGTGGCGATGAATTTTTCTGAATTTCTCATTTTGGACTGGATTTCTATTCATTGTTAAATCTCTGCATGTATATAGATGTTTTTTAATAGTAAATGATATAGGTTTATGCAATACAAATGCTCAAGTTTTGTGCTCACCAATATAATGGTAAGGAGAGTAGATTTACTCTTCTATTCCCTTTGAAAAAATATAAAATAATGAATAGTAAAAGGTAATTTACCTTAGCTTAAGTAGCTGCTTGATTCATTGAGGAAAGCTGCGGATAAATGCTCTTCTGATCTAGAGACAAGGTGATTGTATAATTTCTTACACAAGCTAGAGATTTTTGATTTTACTGTTATTTCGTTTGCTAACGAGACATTTTGTTTTGCTCAACCTTAATCTAGGGGATAGAGGAAAAGAGTTTCTGTCCAAAAAATTCCTTGATGATTTGTTATATTATTGGTGTTTTTCGTGTGTTATCAGAAACAATCATTTCACTTGTTTGAAATTTATTTTATATTAGGAAAGTGATGTATGAATCTTTTTTTGTAGAACCGTTAAGATGTGCTTTTACTTGATGTTTTCAAACAACATGCTGGAATCACGATCGTTTGTGTGAGAATGATTGCCGTCTTCATTAACAGTTGGGATAAAATTATGTTTCTTATCTTTAAAAAAAAAAAAAAAAAAAAAAAAAAAAAAAAGGTGCCCCGGATACAGATTGAGTTGTCTGACACTGTCTACCTTCTCTGGTCTGTTATAGCTTCACTTGATATGGCTCTTCTGCCATTTAAGCTGATTGTATACAGAGCTATGTGATATTGAGACATGTTCTTGCTCCACCCTGTAGGAAGCTAAGGAGCAACACAGGAATACAAAGCTAATGAACACCCTTCTACAATTGCATCGAGAAGTGAGGTAGTGTGGAATTTCTAATATTTCTTTGAATACAGTCTTGTGGAGAAATGAATGATTTCTTCCATATGCAGCCCCAAATTGGCAGTCTGTGCTTCAGACTTATGTTATCCTTGCCCCGATTCTGCACTTGGCTTTGAAGCTGTGTGCCATCTTCTTGCATCAGCACTAGCCTGTTGGCCAGTTTATGGTTGGACTCCTGGCCTTTTTCACTTCCTCTTCGACAATCTTCATACAACTTCTGTACTGGCACTGGGCCCAAAGGAAACCTGTAGTTTACTTTGTCTACTGGTATTTGAACCTTCCTATTGCATCGTTCTCTCAATAAATAATGAATTGATGATAGAAATGAGTTTGATGCAGTTCTTCATTACATTCTCTGGCTTTCTAGAATGACTTGTTTCCAGATGAAAGTATCTGGCTGTGGAAGAATGGAGCACCAATGTTGACTGCTGTCAGATCGTTGTCTGTGGGGACATTGTTGGGATCTAAGAAAGAGAAACAGATCAACTGGTATTTACTTTCTGGACACCCCGAGAAGCTGGTTTGTCAATTGTCACCACAGCTTGTGAAACTGGCAGAAGTAGTTCTGCATTGTGCTATCAGTGTATAATTCTCTATCATACATTTAAGTTTTCTTTCTTGTTATTTCTGTTTTCTTCAGATTGATGTTCTTCACTTCTGGTGTGGTGGTCTGTCAAACATGTCTTATTTTTCGTTATGCCTCTCTCTGATCGTATTCGTGGCCTTTATGTTTAGTATTTCTCTCTGATTGTGTTATTATCATGTATCAGACGTCAGTTGTCATACAAGATATGCTGCGGGTCTTCATAGTCCGTATTGCAAACTTAAATATCGATAATGCTTCAGTCCTGCTTCAACCTATCATATCATGGATCTCTCATCACCTTTCAGAACCCTTGACATTATCTGATGTGGATGCTTACAAGGTCATAATAATCTCGTGTTTCACAAATTTCAGTCAATTTTACATAATTATCATCTTGACATTACCCTTTCTTGTGGTTCCATTCAGGGCTTTCGATTGCTGAGTTTTCTTGGTAGCTTATTGGAACATCCAAATGGAAAGGTGGTGTTTAACTTAAAAAGTCTCCCCATTCAACACATATCTAATTAAAATGCTTACAATTACAATATTACTCTCTCATTATCTTTATTATCCTTGTCAGTCATTATTGCTGAAGGAGGGTTATGTTCAGATGCTCACGAAAGTGCTCGAGAGGTGTATTAGTGCCACTAACTCGGACGTAAAACTGTTCCCAGAAAACGGAAATGTAGCTAAAGATGAATTTTCTTTGATTAGTTGGTGTGTACACATATTTAAGTCTATCTCATTAATGAGTTATTCTCGAGCTTCTGTGCAATATGCTGGAGCTAATGGAAGGTTAGAAAATGTTTTGAAGAGCTTTCATCTAATGCAATTACACTTTTTGTGCATGGATAGAGATTTATAATCATGCTTACAAGAGTTAGTTTGTGTTTCTCAGGTGCATTCGTGAGAGTTTGACAGCCGAAGAATGCATCAAACTTTTGTCCTATCTCCTTAAATTTTCCATGGTATACATCTCATTTGTGTATCTGCATCATGTTGATAACTAGTTCTTCATTGTAAAACACAGAACTTTGCAAATTAGCTTATGAACTGGTTCTTGTTATCTTCCTCATTTTTTTTTTTTAATCTGGACATGTTGCTGAATTGGTGCAGACTCAAATCCTTTTGAAAATGACCAAAATAAAAGTTACACAAAAAGGAAACTAACCTGAAAATGAAATCAAAAGAAGTTTCCATTAAACTAATTTTTGAGAGGTGACGATGGAGAGACTTAGATGGGTGTTCGACCTTTCCCATGGAAAATTCATGATTCCTAAAGCACAACAGGGTTTGTCGGGCGTTATGAAAAAAAGTAACAACTGTGTTAATTTAACGTTCATTTCAAATTCTATCTCAAATTTTATTAAATTCTTATTATAATAATTGTATTAATCTAACGTATATTTTATATTCTTGTTATTAAATTCTTGTTTTTATGGAGTCTAGGTTTGTCTCTGGCTTGCCCGTGTCCTATTTTTTTGATGACTGTGTCAGCATGTTTGTTCTTAATATTTCAGACTTTCAGCTGTATATATTTATTCGAATAACTGGCAGTTGATGTAATTAATTACTTTCTAAGGATGATATCGCTTTCCAATAGAAAGAATGGGGGAGTTTGTGCGTATCAAAAGATGCTCGTGTTTAGTCCAAACTCTAAATTATGGGAAGTAATTTTGCATCCTTGGTCGTAAGTGTGAATTAGTGTAATTTTGACCACCCTGCAGAGATTTGGTGAGATGAAGAGAGAATGATACCAGATTATAAGGATATTTATTCAAAGACACCTTGAACACGTGTTCTGGCTTCTCCAGTGGGGCAGAAGATAGTTGATTGAATAAAAGTTGAAAATAATCAATGGCTAAGTTCTTTTTTGGTTTGAAAAGAATATGGTACCCTTTAACTTGTCAGTAGTTCACACCCAAGAGAGCCAATTAATAAGGAATCTATCAGTCGATTGTGACACTGGTGTCTAAAGGAACATGTTGGTGTTTTGATTGTAAGAGAAGGAATGATATAAATGCTTTCACTTGGGTTCTTACATGGATGTTCAATGGATGATGGTTGCGTTTCTTTGACTTGAATAATAATTTTTGCAGAATCTTTGGAATGAATATCATCCTATAGAGACATATTTAAAAAAAAAAAAAAAAAAAAAAAGAAGGAATATCATCCTATAGAGAGAGTTTTCCCCATTACTGTATATGAGTCGTGGTCTCGTTATTGTTACTTTGACATGGTAGATCTTGAGGCCCCAATGCTTTATCGAAACTGTTAAGATCTTTGAGCAAGTAATGGCTAAATTAACAATCTCATATCAGAAGGATGTAGTTTGAGGAACTGTACGGCATCATCTTTGGGAATATGCTGTTTTTGTTCTCCCATTTTTTATACAGATGCTTCCTTATTTTTGTTGTACTTTTCAAGTGATCATTCTCATACGTGACAGGCTGTGAATTCTTTTGGAGTATGGAAGTCAAGTCTGTCCTGCATATTCCAAAATCAAAAAATTTTGTTTAGACGTCTTGCCATCCCATTGATATTGTTTAATCCTTCTGTTTCTGTTTCTATTTATTTATTTTTTGTTTTTTATTTTTTATTTTTTACACTTATTTCAGGTTTTGCCTGTTGGAAAAGAATTAGTTATGTGTCTGTCAGCTTTCAAAGAAATGGGTTCCACTACTGAAGGCCAAAATGCTTTACTGTCGATTTTTATGCATATTCGTTCCTCTGGCATTGAGATTTCTGAGTCCCAAAGTAGACGTGAAAGTGATGGAAGATACAATCTAATTGATGTATCTGATTGGAGGGAGCATCCTCCATTTTTATGTTGCTGGACTACTTTAGTGAGGTCGATTGCCTCGAATGGTATTTCTCCAGTATATACTGCTTCAGCTATTGTTACATTATGCACAGGAGCATTACGCTTTTGCATGGACGGGGAAAGGTTTGTTCATAATTTTCTTTTTGTTCTCTATGTTAACCTAAAGATTTTCTGCCAACTATAATTCAAAAATTTCAGCTTATAATTTTTCGATTATATATCTCTATTCTCTAATTTATCATTCTCTAGTCCCTTTATGATGTTTAACATTTTGCATTATCTCCTTGATAACAAGGCTGTACTTAATGAAGTGTAAGGTTAAATGCAGTCGAACCTAGCTAGTGCAAAGTTGTGCTTGTTTAAGTTTGGGTTATGTCCTTAACAGCCCATCATCTCACACTTTAGCTTTGGACTCCATGTTGACATGTCGAAAACCTTTGCTTGGTGAATTTTGTTAAGAGATAAATCCCAAATCATCTAATTATCGAAGTTGATACGAACGTATAAAGTTTTGGGATATAGTTCTTATTGCCTTTTAAGATGAAACCTCAAGTATGGTAACGGAGCTCAATAAGCTTTAACGAGCTATTTGATCTTATTAAGACTAAAAAATGAGTACATGGATTTCAAGATTGGTCTATTCAAGCGAACAACCATTTTGCTAGGGTATGTTAAGAGATAAATTCCACCATCTTGCAGGGCACGGACAGCCTGTGCAATCCTCGAGCTTTCTTGCCCCCAGGGCAACCTTATCTTTTTGCATAGGTTGATAAGTACGAGACAACCGGAAAATACGCAATCTTATGTGTAGGATTTTGTACAGTACGTGTATATGATGACATCATTAGTATACTATTCAATAATATAGGCCATACACTTATCTTTTCATGACCTTGTCGTGCTATATAGGGAGAGTATGCTTAGTGCATGACATTCTCCCCCATTCAATCTTCTAATGCCCTCATAGCAAGATGTGAGCTTGACATCGTCGCGCACCCTCTCATTGCAATAATAATAGTAGACCATCCTTTTATGGGCAAGCATCCACACAGTGCCCCTCGCACTTCTGCTCGCAGCACCTCTTTACATATCGCCTTCGACACCAACCTTCACCCTATGCCCTCAAGTATTAGTTCCTTGAATGGAAGGTCTTTGCCGCAGCGCCAATGCGCATGTTGAAGCACAAACACACAAAACCCCTCATTATGATTTCCTCTACAATGTTCATCGTGCTCCACAAAATATTTTCTGCAAGAATGCATGTCGGTAGCACATTCAAGCGGGATTTAATTTCTTTCCGCCTTGTCAAACATATCTTTGAGGATTTGTTAACAAATTTGAACTATAAAATCCCCACCACGCATAAAACACGTGTATTAATCTTTAAGATTTTATTAAATGATTTCTGTACTAATTGCTTTCTATCATTTTCATCCCCTTCATAGCCACTTCACTTTTGATACATTGATATTTATAGTATATTTATCATTTTTATCCTCTGTAAAGGAGATAGATTCCCACAATGCACATTAAATAACTTATGAAACTAATTTGTCCATTTTGTCTGATCTTACTGCTAAGAGACAAAATTATTTATCTTTCATCTTTAGTTCAAGTAACTTGGCTGAGATACCTACTACTCATTTCTTTGCTAAGATGTACCAGAACTTTCTCTTGGTCTCGGTTCCAAGATTGCTATGCCCCTTCTTGGCTTCCCGTTTGTCAGTATTATATTTCTTAATGTGACTGCCTAAAAGGTATCTATTAGCATGTTTTGCTAAGATTAAAAGTTGCTTTTGAGTAGCTTTTAAGCTTAGGCATATATGCTCTAAGATCTCAAGGCAAAGCCAATTTTCGAAAGTGGGTAAGCATTCTATAAGACTCACATAGGAAAGAAGTTTATCCTCTAATAAAGATCTTAGGTTCACTAGAAAATTATTCGTGTCCTTCCAATACCTTTTTGCCTTGTCTAATCCTATTTGTAGAATATTTTGATTAACGATGCTAATTCTCCTAATATAAGTCTAACTAGTATAATTTTATCTCCAATGCATTTATCTGTTACTTCTTCATTTTGTAAACTCAGTGCTGTTATTGTTTCTACAATATTTCTATTATATTCCTTCCCTTATACCAAAGTTTCTATCCCGCATCCTGCATCAGCTTCTCTCTCTTTCATACATCTGTGTGCATGTTATAAGGTTCCTCCTACCAGCTGATGTACTAGTTCTAAGGATTTTATTGTGTATTGGAATTTGAAATTTCTACTCTACCCTATTCTATATCTTGCGTTAACTTCTTTACACCTCTAGCATTAGCGCGTGGGAATCAATGCTTCTTGAAACCTTTGCATTTTGGTGTGCCACATTGCTTATGCAGTACAGCCTTGCTAGCCACTTTGACTACATGTGGTGTCTGATGTGGTGCATCTGTAGTAGGAGACGCTCCTAGAAAAATCTATGAAGGCTTCATGCAATATATTTGACAATTTTATATTTGCCGTCAACCTGTTGCACCTATAGTTTGTGTGGGCTTGAGATTGGACATGTTGAAACATAGGGGGGGTTTTCTGATACTCTTATCCTGTAAGGTAAAATTTGTGTTTGCTGTGAATCTTTATCCTTCTTTAGCAACAGCCACACACACATTTCTCCATTAATACAGTGAGGTCATCTAGAAATTTCTGTTCTATTGTCTCATTATGTGATTAGATAGTATCTCAACTTTCTATCTATGAAATATATTTTCATTTCTATTGGCCTACACTTTTCATTTTCATAATACTAGATTTTCTTTTATTAATTTATAATTTATGTCAATCAACTTCTACGAGGTAAGATTTAAAAAATTGATTTTTGCAATATAGCACGAAATAAATTGCCACCTGTATTGTTTCTTTTTTAGCTTCAACTTGGAGAGGGTGGCTGCTATCAAGTTCTTTTTCAGAATCAAGGATGAGAGTTCTGTAGATGGTTTTATTGAAGAGAGCATGAACCAGATCGAGGAGTTTGCAAATCTGTTAGAGTCAGAGATAAGCAGTGGTACATATTCAGCTGCAGGGGATGTGCCTCCTGCTCTGTACAAGGTACAGTCTCTCATTTTCCTTACCTTTTTTTAGCTCCTTCCCTTGTTCCTCTCAATTACATGATAATGGATATGCAGGTTAAGGAGGCTGCAAACTCATTAATACATTTGTTGCAAAAGTCAACTGATACAGTGAATGAGGATGTTACAATTGCCAGTCTCCCTAGCTCATTAGTTGTTGCTCCAGTTCTTTCGAGGGTGCAAAAAATTGCAAACCGTAGCATAGAACAGATGGAGGATTACAGCTTGGATGAATTTGGAAACAAATTTTTATGGGAATGTCCTGAAACTCTGCGTGATAGACTTGCACAGACCGGTCTTCCTGCAAAAAGAAAGATCTCCTCATTGGAAGGACCAAATAGGCGTGCCAGATGGGAAAATGCTGTAGCTGAGGCCATCACACAAAGTACATTCTCTAGGGGATCGGTACCTGTTGCTGCCCCCTCTGGCCCTACTCATAGGGATACTTTTCGACAGCGTAAGCCAAATACTAGCAGACCTCCTTCTATGCATGTGGATGACTATGTTGCGAGAGAAAGAAATGCTGATGGTACAAATTCTAATGTAATTGCTGTCCCACGGATAGGATCTACCAGTGGGAGACCACCATCAATCCATGTGGATGAGTTCATGGCCAGACAGAGGGAGCGCCAAAATTCTGTGGGATCCGCAGGTACCGAGACAACAGCACCGGTGCAAGCAACAGTACCAGATAACAACACAGATGCTGAGAAGCTCAGTAAACCTCTGAAGTTGAAACCTGATCTTGATGATGATCTACAGAGAATTGATATTGTATTTGATGCTGAGGAATCTGAATCTGAACCTGATGATAAACTGATGTTTCCTCAAAAGGATGCCCATCTACAGCAGCCTCCATCTGTTGTAGTCGAGCAAAGTTCTCCTCATTCAGTAGTTGAGGAGACAGATGCTGACGTGAATGAAGGTAGTCAGTTTTCTCACTTGAGTACGCCTTTAGCTTCAAACATGGATGAAAATACGCCAAGTGAATTTTCTTCAAGAATGTCTGCATCTCGTCCAGAGATGCTATTGACTCAAGAACCAAGCATTTCTTCGGGTAGAAAATTTCCTGATCAGTCAGAGGACGTGAAGAGTTCTCTAGTCCAAAAACCAAGGATTGAATCTCCTGCAGGAGCTAGTGGTTCTGGAATTTCTACTCAAGTCTATGCAAACACTCCCTCTTCAACTGGACAATTAGCTTTTGGCTCCAGGCTGCCTCCTACCTTCTATTCGCAAGCAAATTTTCCACAAAGTGGAACTGTACCTTTAAATCAGCCACCTTTGCCTCCAATGCCACCTCCACGAAGAGTCTCACCCGTATTATCTCAAACTACAGATACCATTGTAAGTCAGCCTTTTTCCATTTTCAATTCTGTGTGCAGATGTGCAGCCTGCAGTTAATCTTTCCTACAAGTTGAATAACCCTTCTCCAATTTTGCAGGTTCAGTCAGAATATCTGGCTGTTTTGGCTAGCAATTCTTCACTGGCAACTTCCAGTCCTTTGCCTGATTCAAGATTCGGACTGACATCCCATTCTTCCCTTGGCAGATCTAGTAGACCGCCGCCACCTCTTCCTCCTACACCACCTCCCTATTCATTCAACCCTTCTGCAATATCCTCATTTAAAAATCCAAATTCTCAGTCTCCGTTGTACATTCAAGCTGTTGGTAGTTCCGAGCATCAGCAAAACCCCATCGCACCTTCAATGGGTACTGGATTAGGCAACCTTTCGGCATCACGGACGATGCTAACTTCTTATACCCCGCCTCCTTCAGTGCAACCCTTGCATTTCAGGCCCAGTTCCGTACCTATCAATCTTTATGGGAATAGTTTAGTTCCACATCATGGAGAAAACCTACCTAGTATTTCGCAAAACCTTCCCATGTCTCTTCCTCCATTTCACTCCATACCACCTCTTACTCAGTTGCAGCCACTACAGCCACCACAGCATCTGCGGCCATCCATTCCTGCTTCCCCACAGGAGCAAGGCATGTCTGTGTTGCAAAGTCCCCTAAAAGTGTCCCACCTCTCTCCTGCCCACATGTACTATCAGACCCTACAGCAGGATAATGCTGCACATTCATCGCAACAAGTTGAGCAGTCACGAGTTCAGCATCAGCATGCGGATAGCACATCCCAGCAACAAGACCCTGGAATGTCGTTGCAGGAATACTTTAAATCCCCAGAAGCAATTCAGGTACCGTACTTTGCATTGCTTTGGCACGATTTATACAACTTACTAGCCCGGTTTGGTAACAAACTCCGTTCTGATCATTTTTTCCATGCTTGATTGCAGTCTCTGTTGAGTGATCGTGATAAACTTTGTCAGCTTCTAGAAGAACATCCGAAGTTGATGCAGATGCTGCAGGTGTGATAATTCAACATAATTGATTCATTTCTCCTAAGAGCATGCTTGACTAAGTTTATAAAAGTTTACATTTAAGTTTTAAAAGTAAATAATTTTTTTTTCTTGTTAAAGTTGGAAATACGTTTCTTTTCTTTACTGGAAATAAAAACTGTTACGAAGAATACAAAAAGGAAATTAGAAATATTTCTGGAATTGTATTAATAAAAAATGGAAGGAAACATTACAATGAATAGAGTAATAATAAAATTAGAGGAAATGGTTGTTGAGGTAGTAGCAATATTAAAATAAATCGAGGCCCGTGTTGCACACAATTTTCTTTAAATAGATTCACCTCCCACTGTGGTGCAAGAGGATTGATGAAGTCCGTCTTACAAGATACAACGGTTGACAGTAGCTGATTAGTATCTCATCACAACTTTAGATGAACTAAGAAAGTTCACAATTTTATCACTAATCTAGAACAAAGAACTAAACTATCTAAGTTACTAAAAGTTAAACTCTTGAAACGAAAAGAGATTTAGCCCTTGTTTGAGCCACATTATTTTTATATTAAAGCATTTTGGAATAGTGCAGTGATGGGAAATGTGTGGTAAAAAATAAGGAAAAGTTTTGAATTTGCGTGTAATATTATTTTATTGAAGAATGTATGGTCATGTCAAATTAATGTTTAAGAATGTATTTTTTTTTTTTAAAGAATGTTAGTCAAACAAGGCCTTAGTGTGAAGAAAACACTCTCATATTTTTGGTGTGAAGAATAAGGAAAACACCTCTTTATATGGTACTAGGATGAGGGAGGTTCCAAATTTTTAGTTAATTTTGAATTTAACACAAATTGATTATGGAATTGAACCAATTCAAATGCAAATTGACTAGACTTGAAACCTACGAATTGTTGTTACAATTTCATTCAACTTGAATAGATTGCTTTAATATATTATTTTCCAACAAACACTGGTATCAAAATCGGGTTTCTTGTTTTAAGTTTCACGTCATCCTCTGTCTAAGGTGAATTTATAATATTGCAAGTATAACATTTTACCCCGTTTGAATATTTTCCTCTTGTGGTGTACCAGGAGCGACTAGGCCATTTTTAGTGGGATTGCTGTACGTTCTCTTCTGGAATGTCAAAATGGAACGCATTTCCATGAAAATCAAACTACAGCATGTAGTTGGGATGAGTATTTTGTGAATGGTGGAATAGCATCGCTTGGATATGATTCACTCTGGCTTATATTTTGTTCTTCGGGTTGGAATTGTACCGTTATAGAACACCTTTATTTTTTTTTTATTTTTTTTTTTTCAGGAATTGTATATTAACTAGGTAAAAAAAACATTTCTGCTGTTCCATTTAGTTGTATAATTGCTGTTAACTGTAATCTTAAGTTGCAATATGTATTTTTGACTTTAAAAAAACAAATGTTGAACTGTTATCAATGTTATTTCTAGTTATTATGATAAAATAGTTGGGACTTTTCTAGTCGAAGTAATGTCTCTGTTTTTCTCTTATTATTTGAGCCTTCTTTCTTTTCCAGAAAATGACATCATCTGTTTTCTTTTAAAATGTTCTTTAGTAAAATAACAAATATTCCAATAATTAACACGTTGAGTGAAGTTGTCTCTGTAAATTGCAATTCACTCTTAATTTATTATAATTGATTCCTTATTTACTTCAATTTAGAGTTAAGAGGAAAATGAATAAAATAATCTGTACATTTTGGATATAGCACGTCCCTTTCTTTTTTGAGTAATATGAAATTAACACTTTGATACCTGAAATTTCGTAACATCAGTTGGATGGGGGCGTTGATAATGGTTAGGGTGTTGAAGATCCCCAGAAAATTAGTGTACTAAATTCCTCGCAAACAAAAAATCATGACTTCGAATGGTTAGAATTTTGTCTTTAGCTATTTATGATAACAATTACTACAATAAAAGTGAACTTGCTGTGCAGATTAATAAAAAAAATCAAAGTGGATTGACAAATGGTTTTAATAAGAGCGTAGATTTTTAAGAAAAATTAGAAAATGATTTTCATTCTCTAATTTTACCTTTACACTTTAATAGATGAATTCCAAGTGGCGGAGAAGCTACATCAACGTGCCAAATCTTTCAGCCAATGTAAACTCTTATAGAATATTAGTCTATTATCTTTGAAGTAACTTTTATCTGTTGAGCAACTATCCATCTAATCTACATCGTCGACTAACCGACGTAGACTTTCATCCCTACTCGATAGTTGGGTCAAATGATAGCTTTTAACTTTTCAAAAGCCTTACCAAACGATTCCTAAGAATAACATACATACTTGTTCATATTCTTCTTGTGTGACTTCAAGGCCTTGGCATATTCTTCTTTAAGTTCTGCAGCTCTATCCTGATAGAACTTTTTCTCCCGGTTATCATTGAAGTTAGAATCAGATCAAACATTTTACAGCACTTAGATTTTCCTTGAGAAAACTGCAGTGGAGTGAGTATAGGGAAAAGAAACAAACATGTCATAATAGAAACCTAGAAATGAAACGCATAGTTGAAAAGCGTTCAAGAATTTTACCTCTTTTACACCCTTGCAGTCAGGATTAGCCTCCTTGTACTCTTTCCTAAAGTCCTCCCTAGTAATAATTAACATGAAAATACATTAAACAAATTGCTCAGGCTTATGCAATATAAAGCATAAAAGGAAGAGAAATTGTACATGAAAAGGGAGAAGGAAGTCGGAGGGCGTTTCGGTGTATTCAGATCTTTGGCTTTCTTTTATTTCTTCGCTTTTGCTTCTGTTGATTTTGCCTTCTTTCTGCTCATTAATAGAATAATGAAAAGATTAAAATAATAATAATAACACACAAAACCAAATCAAAAGTTCCGTGAGATTACTTTACTGCCGGGTTTTTCTTGACCTCGTAAGGAATTTCCACAACTTCAGCCCTGTATAGATTTGAACTAATCCATTCAAAATCATGAAAATCCAACCTGATGACTCAGGTTTGTCTACCCCGAACTCGACTTCATTTCGCCCACAAATCTCGACCTCGACCTATGACCCCCGAGTTGATTTTGGCGTTTCACGCTGGTATAAGGTCGGGGTTATTATCTAATTCGACCTTACCCATCGACTCAATCTCCAAAAAGTAGACCCCATCTAAATCTACTCTTTCCCTAATTAGAACTCTAACAATACACTTCTAATTAAACTCCAACAGTTAGCCCTAAGGGGAAAATAACTCTTTCACGAATAGAATCCTTCTACAGCTCCTCCCACCAACACCTATAAATACTTGGCCAAGGCTCAACATCAAGGTACACTATTCATTACTGCAAATTCAAAACCTTCTCTCATCAATCTCCCTGTCTGACTTAAGCATCGAAGGGGCGATGAGAACACACCTCGTTGCCTTTTGTTTCAGGTATTGGAAAACTGTTCGTGCTCATTTGTCCAAGTTCGGAGTTCAAACTACAAATTCGTGGTCTATCAGGTACAACTTTTTGGTAGCATCATTGATGCCGTCTATAGGAAACGCTACCAAAAGCCATGGTGAATACACGATCAGGTCTTCCACCAGCAAGCTCATCCGCTCCAAATCCTCCCCCTAAAGATCATCCTGTCCCTTAAAAGGAATCATCAGAGATGGCAACACCAGCACTGGCTGTCGGTATCGCCGGAGCTTTCGAAGAGCTCCGCCAACAAGTTACCACATTGACTCAGTTATTAAGCCAAAGGAATTCACACCCATCGCATACACTGACACCGGATGGTAATCTTATGGCAGCTGCTCAAGTTTGAGCTCCACAAAACATTCCTGATAATGGTGTTGGAACCTCGGGTGTACCTCCTATGACCGCGGCCTCAAGGGCAGTAACGATAGAGTCAGGAGAACTTGCCAGAATCATCCAAGAAGGTATTGCCGCGAGACTAGTACAGAAATCGCAGGGGGCAACAGGCTTTACCCCTAGCACTCCCTTTACTCCTGAAGTATTGTCCTACCCCCTTCCGGATAGGTTCAAGTATCCCAGCATAAAAGAATGTGATGGGACCACCAACCCTATCATATATACCGATATCATGAACTTACAGGTCGCACTTGACGCTGTAATGTACAAAGCCTTCCCTCAAACTCTTACAAGTGTAGCTAGAGATTGGTTCTCCACATTAGAGCCGAACTCTATCGCTTCGTTCGCAAACCTGGCTGATAAATTCTCCTCTTTCTTCGCAAGTAGCAAGCGAATCAGGAAAACAGCGACATCACTTATGCAGATGCGCCAGGGGCCTAATGAAACATTACGCAATTTCATAACCAGATTTAATAAAGAAAGACTTCAGATTCCAGATTTACATATTATAGCTGCGGTCTCAGCTTTGACGTACGCCATAAGATGTGAAGCATTTAAGATGTCTTTGTCAAAACCTTCCCCCAAATTCAATAACTAACCTCTTCACTCGAGCTGAGAAATACATCAATATGGAAGAAACTTTAGCCCCAAGAAAGGATGCTTCACCTTTACTTAGGCCGGATAATAAGAGACCGCGTGAACCCAATCAACGAGACGACATTCCTCGGGTCAAGCCAAGACAAAACCCTCGACCAGAAACCTTTACTCCCTTGAATACATCAAGGTCCAACATCTTGCTGGAGATCAAGGACCTCAAAGAGCTTAAATGGCCTTCCAGAATGTGGTCATTACCTAAAAACAGAGATAGAACCAAGTACTATGACTTTCATTGGGACCATGGACATACCACTGAGGGTTGTTTAGCTCTGAAGCAACAAATTGAGGCTCTCATTAGGAGGGGTTTTTTAGGCTCTTACACTAGCCATGAAAAACGCCCGAGGAACAATCAGAATAATGTACAGGAAGGGCGTGGTAGTGAACCGCCAACTGCAGGCATGATTAACGTTATTGTCGGAGGAACAGCTTCAAGAGGAGACACTAACAGTGGACGTAAGTAGTATACTAGACTGCTTCCAGCCTCCTCCAATATAGATCTTGCTCATACGGAAGATATCACCTCCGGGTCAAAGGATTTGGAAGGAATATCCTTCCCCCATGATGACGCCCTAGTCATATCAGCTATCATAGCTAACTTCGAGGTCAAGAGGATTCTTGTGGATAACAGAAGTGCAGTTAAAGTACTGTCTCATGAAACTTTTGTTCAGATGGGTATCTCACTAGAACAACTCAAGCCTGTTAAAACACCCTTCCAAGGATTTGGTGGCGGGGTCATTACCCCTGAAGGTATTGTTGGATTACCCATGACTTTGGGATCTAAAGGTCGGCAGCTAACCCATATCATAACTTTTGAAGTTGTCCGAACTCCAATGGCCTACAACGCCATTCTAGGGAGACCATTGCTAAATAAAATCAGAGCTGTTATCTTAACTTTTCACCTAGCAATGAAGTTCCCCACATGTAGTGGAGTTGGAGTCGTCCGAGAAAGCCAAACCATGACACGCCAGTGCTATGTGACTAGTGTCCGAAAAACGAAGGGAGACGTCATGCAACTTTCAGAGCTCGAGCTCGAGCTCGAGCTTGAAAATCATGGGAGACTCGCCCTGGTAGAAGAGCTGGTCGAGCTCGAGCCTGGTAGGAAGGTGACAGTAGGACATGATCTTGATTCAACCATCATGGCTAAACTCATAAGTTGTCTCTCCCAAAACCAAGACGTATTCATTTGGACAGTTGAACACATGCCGGGAATTGACCTCGAGGTTGCAGTACACAGGCTCAATGTAAACCCAGAAGCCAAACTTGTCAAGCAAAGGAAAAGAGAGTTTGCACCGGAACGGCGCGAAGTCATACGAGAAGAGATTGCCAAGCTCCTCAATGCACAATTCATCCGAGAATGCAATATCCTGACTGGCTTGCCAATGTAGTTCTCGTGAAAAAGGCCAATGGAAAGTGGCGAGTTTGCATTGACTTCACTGATTTGAACAAAGCATGTTCAAAAGATAGCTATCCCCTACCCCGGATTGACAGCCTCGTTGACAGCACTTCGGGTCACAAATTGTACAACTTTTTGGATGCATTCTCAGGGTACCATCAAATACCAATGGCCATAGAAGATCAAGAGAATACCTCATTCATGGACGATTCGGCCATCTATTGTTATAAGGCCATGCCATTCAGGTTAAAGAACGTAGGGGCTACATATCAGAGGCTAATCAACGAGGTCTTTGCTGATTTGATTGGAAAAACCATTGAGGCTTACGTAGATGACATGGTGGTCAAAAGTAAATAGGTGGATGATCATATCACTGATCTCGAATAAGTGTTTTCCACGCTGCGGAAATACAACATGAAGCTTAACCCGACAAAATGTGCCTTTGGGGTAGCATCAGGAAAGTTTCTAGGTTTTATGATCACAAATAGAGGAATAGGCCAATCCTGACAAAATCTAAGCCCTAATATCTATGGAAGCCCCAAAGAGCAAAAAGGACATCCAAAAGCTTACAGGTCGGGTAGCAGCATTGAACATATTTGTCTCTCGGGTAGCAGACAGATGTTTCCCCTTTTTCAAAGTCCTAAGAGGCAACCAGATCTTTGAATGGAATGATGAATGCGACCTAGCCTTCCAACAGCTTAAGCAAACTTTAGCTATACCTCCGGTTCTTGCCAAACCAGGGCCTGGTGATACTTTGTTCCTTTACTTGGCTGTCTCTCGAAATGCCGTAAGTGGGGTGCTAGTAAAGGAAAAAGGAAAAGTGCAGCAACCCATCTACTATGTCAGTAAGTGCTTATTGACACCGAAACTCGGTATACCATTGTGGAACAATTAGCTCTTGCGTTGATAGTAACTGCTAGAAAGTTGCGACAGTATTTCCAATCTCACCCCATAATAGTTCTCACCAATCAACCACTCAAGCACATACTTCAGAGACCAGATGTTTCAGGAAGGTTATTAAGGTGGGCGATCGAGCTTGGTGAGTTTGATATAGAGTTCAAGCCTCAACCTTCTATCAAGGCACAGGCTCTGACCGACTTCATAGCTGAACTCACTCCAAAACCACAAGGGCCCAAAATCAAAAACTCGAGCAAGACCTCAAAAACCTAGGAGATATTTGTCGATGGGGCGTCAGATAGCTCAGGCTCGGGGGCCGGGATAATCATCATCAGCCCGGACAAGGCCACTGAAGTTCAATGTGCGCTTAGGTTTGAGTTTGAAGCAACCAACAACGAAGCGGAATATGAAGCTGTGGTCATTGCTCTCGAACTTGCCAGAAGTTTGGAATTAGAGCATATCAGAGTCTTCAGCAACTCACAGCTCGTTGTTGGACAGATCGAAGGATCTTTGAAAGGAAAGATGAGCTTGCACTGCGTAAAAGTGCATGATCTTCAGAGACAGTTCACAAGTTGTGAAATATTGACAATAGCAAGAGCAGATAACTCCAAAGCTGACGCACTATCCAGACTCGTTTTCATGAGGATAGATGGACTCGACAGAACAGTACACGTCAAGATTGTCACAGAGCCTATCATAAACGCGAAGCCGAGAGTCATGGACATTGACCAAGAGCCTTCCTGGATTGATCCAATAGTTGAATATATAAGTAATGGAAACCTACCTCCTGACCCTCGCACCGTAAGGAGTATTCGGGCCAAAGCCGCTAGGTATTGTATTATCAGAGGGGTGCTGTTTTGAAGAAGTTTTACACTCCCCTATCTAAGTTACCTCAAACCTTCCGAATCTCTCCAACCCCCGACTGAGGTTCATGAGGGAATATGCGAAAATCACCAGGGAGCCAGAGCCCTTGCCTACAAATTAATAAGGTATGGGTACCACTGGCCAACCATAAAGAAAGATGCAGCTGAATATGTCAAAAGGTGTGACAAGTGTCAGAGGTTTGGTAATGCTATACATGTCCCTATAGAAGAGTTGACCTCTATTCATTATTCGGCACCATTTGAACAATGGGGAGTTGACATCCTTAGACCTTTCCCCATGGCCCGAGGACAGTTAAAATTTGTTGTGGTAACAGTTGAGTACTTCACAAAGTGGGTAGAAGCCAAGCTCAGATCATTTGTATGGAAGTCGATTGTATGTAGGTTTGGAATACCCAAAGTACTTATAACAGATAATGGAAGGCAATTCGACAATTCACAATTCAGAAATTTCTGTGTCAATCTCGGGATTGACCATTGTCTAACGTCAGTATCACACCCTCAAAGCAATGGCCTCGCTGAGGTAACAAATAGGATCATACTTCAAGACCTTCGCATCAGGATCGGAAACGCAAGAGGTGACTGGCCCGACGAATTGCCCTCCATACTATGGGTATATAGAACTTCTCATAAAACAGCAACAGGCGAGACTCCTTTCATGTTGGCCTTCGGCTTAGAGGCCACTATCCCCGTCGAAGTCAGTCTCCCCACTTTGAGGAGAGTTGAACCCAGTATGGAGGACCAAACAACCGAACATCTTGACTTACTCGAAGAAGTAAGAGAGCAAGCTTCACTGAGAGCTGCTAGTTACCAAAATAAAATAGCAAAGTACTTCAACACCAAAGTCAAGTCACGAGAATTTAGGAGTGGCGATTTGGTTTTAAGAAGAGCAGAAGTAGTTGGACACCCTCCAGGTAAACTTGGACGGGTATGGGAAGGGCTATTCGAAGTCATACGAAGGATCAAAGGTGGAGCAAACAGCCTTAGAGACACTTCGGAAAATCCACTCCCAAGGCCTTGGAATGCAGATAACCTAAAAATATATTACAAGTAGAATAGCAATAGCGTCGTGCTAGGGGTTGCACGCCCACCTTATTTTTATTTTTCAGTAGCTCGGGTTTATGTACCCTTGAGCATTTTGTTTTTAGTAGCTCGAGCTAATTACCCTTTAACACCTAATAATATTCAAGTTTCTTTCTACTAGCACTCTTTAAACTTTGGCGTAACGACATGCTTCGAGCATGCAGCCAACTCTTTAACATTAGTGTAACGACGTTGTAGAACCCCAAATAATTCTAGTCACCTTAGTGGCACTAAGATATGAATACTGGATGACTAAAGTATACTTTAGATTTTTAGTCTCATTTGAGACCCATTTTCGACATAGGAAACATTCGATTTGGAAAATGATATCTAAATAAAAGTTGTAGCTGTTTGAGTTAGTTTTCCAACGCACTTTGAATTACCTCAATCGGATATCGGGAGAAGAAGTTATGATGGAAACACTGAAAGTTGTGCAATATCAACCGGACTACAACCGGTCGACCGAAGCTGCCTGAAATGAAAATTCTCATTTTTCTCTAGAATTTAAATATTTATTTTCATCAATTATTTTCTCAAAGGGTCACCCACATTTTTGGCAATAAAAACCCCACTAAATTGAAGCATTTAACCTCAAACTTAAATGGCATCCATGTTTTCTTTCTTAAATGAAATTTGACCCTTCATTTGCTTTAAAATATGGGATATTTACCTATAAATAGAGACCTCATTTCACTTGTTTTTCTCATACCAAAAGCAAGAGTTTTTACATACTAAAGAAAGAGTTTCCAAGAGAAAAAAAGAGAGGGAGGAAAACTATTTTTCCTAGAAGTTTAAGAAGTGTTTTCAAGCATCAATTCTCAATGGTTTTCAAACATCCAACGAGTGCATTTCTTTCAACGTCCAAGTTTCATCGAAGTTTTCAATCCAAGTTTTCAAAATTTCAAAAACATCAATCAAGGTAGGTAGAGGTGCAATGTGTTTAATCGTGTTAAGTTATAAGTTTCGATTCATGTTAATGTTTGTATGTCAAATGGTACTCCGATACGGCATATCCCTCTATGTTAATGATTGTATGTCAAATGGTACTCCGGTACGGCATATCCCTCTATGTTGAAGAAATGGTCGTATGTCAAATGGTGCCCTCGGGTACGGCATACCCCTTCATGTCAAATGGTGCTCCGGGTACGACATGTATGAAAAGTTATAAAGTTAATGTTTTGAAATGTATAGCTTGATCACGAATGCACTTATGACACCTATTGAGTTTTTCAACTCACGAGTTTAATCACATCTCTATAGATTGAAGGAATTCTACCTCGGACATGGATGGAGGAGAAGATGGAGAGTGATGCAACGAGTCCATGAGAATTCGGTGAATAAGTGATTTGGATTTATTTTTATGAAATGTTTTCCAATGTTATTTCTTTAAAGTTTTGAATAACGCAGAATGCGAGAACAAGTTATGTTTTCTTCAAATAAATTACATTTTGTTGTTTTGAAAAATGATTCAGTGTTTTTGTTTAAAGTATTTGAAGTATTATTATTTAAATTATTATCCGAAGATGTAAGCTTCCGCTAAAACGTATACACTTGTTACTAAACCACCGGTTAAGCTAAGTAAAGTAAGTAGCGTTCCGGTCTACTAGGGGTCGGGGCGTTACAGACGTGCTACAGGCATGCAGCTAATGACTCGGGCATAATGACGTGCTTCGGGCATGCAGCCAACTCCTTAACATTAGCGTAATGACGTGCTATGGGCATGCAACTAATAATTTCGGCTTAATGATGTGCTCCGGGCATGCAGCCAACTCTTTAACGTTAGCGTAATGACGTGCTACGGGCATGCAGCTAATAACTTCGGCGTAATGACGTACCTCGGGCATGCAGCCAACCCCGTGCTCTAAAAGCAGTAACATTGGGTCTGACATACAAACCCGAGGTCATGAACCCCGACCTTTCTTTCATTTAAAACCAACAGTGGCTAAGTTCGGAGTCGGGCCTCTTCGCATGATAAAGATTGAACCCGACACCCTCTGCGACCTAGAAACAGTCTCGAAGACCATACGTGACAATAACTCCATATCATGACTGTGACTAGCTATTTAACAATCGAATTCACAAGAGGCAGATCACACACGAGCCCAATGCCTTTTGCACGACAAGACAAATAACCTAATAATAGGTTCCTCGAGCTTAAAAAACCCAAGTTGTAGTAAGTAAACAGCTTGAACTCATCATCTGGGTTATTTGATGACTTACAGGCTCTAAGCTCGACCTCGACGAGTACATCAAGAATTGAGCTCAGACATGCCTGATGTTCAACGTCGAAGTGTTGATTGAATTCAGAAGCGTTGTGCATTGAATGAAAACATGAGCTCGATTAAATTAAAAACAAACACAAGTAATATGCACGAACATTCATCGATTAGATTAAAAAACAAAAGTACTGAGCCCAGTTCGGGCAATATTACAAAAAGTTTCAAAACATCAAGGTTAAAGACCTAATCTATATCTACGACCCTGACATCGTCTCCTTGGTCGCCAGTCCCGACGTCATCTCCATCACCATCATCATCATCATCATCCTCACCATCCTCTTCGACCTCAAAGGCCGAAAGTTCGAGCTCCCCTGCAAGCTCGTTCACTGTCTTCAAATCCTCGACCAGTGATTTTAAATTCTTAGGGACCTTCGTGCGGAGATAAGAACGGGCAAGACGAAGCCCGTAATGGTAAGAGCTCGACCCATACTGTCCCAATAGGGTCCCAAACTCGTCAGACTTCTTGAAGTCTTCAACAGCCTAAGCCCGGGCCTCATCACGAGCCTTCGCAAGCTCTTCCCCAAAGTACCTCTAGGACTGGAGAAGCTCGAGCTTAACTTCCTTGACCTCAGCCTTGGATGTCTCAAGTTCCTCTTGAGACTTCTTGAGGTCAGTCTCAACAGCCTCGAGTGCCTTTTCAAGATCACGAGCTTGCTTTTCAGCTTGCTCTTTTTCCTTCGAAAGCTCCTCAATTTCATTCGAAATGTTGATACCGTTCAAAGTAAGACCTCGCGCCACACTCAGCGTATGCACAAAGAAGAAAAGGAAACCCAGGGCCAGTTCGATCAAAGAAGATTAAAAAAATAAAAATACATTTAAGGTCGGCATCTTACCCTTAAGGTCAAAGCCTCCAGTGTCTTGACCCCTTCATTAATGTTGACCTCCTTCTCGAACCTATCAACAAGGTCCTTTACAAGGGCACACTCCGTATACTCCTCGAGGGCACTGTCCGAAATAGGCTCGAAGCCTGAATCCACGACACCTTAACACCCCCGAGCTCGATCTTCATATTTCGACGTCCTATGAGGCGTTGAGGTCGGGCTCCTTAACGTCGAGGGTTGACCCCTAAGAGGTGCCGGGCTCTCAAGATCCACTGTAGGCACCCTAACATCGGGGTGCCTGGCCCTCTTCTTCCCCCTTTTTTGGGACCGAGGCTTTGGACATTGACCCCTTGGCCTTATGATGGACGTTGGCCAACAATTTGGAAGGATCAAATGACATCTCTAGATCTGCAAGAAACAAATCAGAAGGCATTAGCACGATCTCGACATCAGGAATACAACGACAAAGCATAAAAAGTAAAAGACATACCCTCGAGGCCTTTAACATTTGCAAGGTCGAGGGTGTCATCCTCGAGCAAATAATCGATCTTCTCTGCCAAGGGGTCGTGGTTAACTAACCTTATTCTATCCCTCTCTAGAACCTCAAAATACGCCTGACCCTTATTAAACCTATCCTTACTAGGGATCTCCCACCTCGGGCTAAAAGGATGGTCGGGATCTTGGGGTTTTACAAAGAAAAATCTCTCTTTCCAACCCCGAAGAGAGCTTGGGGTCTCAGGTGTCCTAAAGCCCCCCTTGGTTGACAAATACACAAAACAATTGAACCCCAGCAAGTACTTCATATCGTACACCATCCTCAGAAGGTCGAGCCTAGGCTCAATATCGAGGCATCTACATAGTAGAAAGAAATAGACCAACAGCCTCCAACCGTTAGGGGTCAACTGGCCCGGACACATATAGAACGAAGTAAGGAAGTGGATAAAAAGGGTGAAGAGGCCACCGCATCCCAGCTTTAAGGGCATCCCTAAAAAACGTCACCTCCCCCTCTCGAGCTCCTAAGATATTTTCGGTGCTCTCGAGAACCCTAACATCACAAATGGGCATCACCCTGAACTCTCTAGCTATCTTAATAATTACATGTTACTTGTAGGCGATCAGGTTCTTTGGATAAGTCAGCACCACCTCCCCTGGAGAGTGCGAGCTAACGGGAAAAGCCAGGGTGACAAGATCTCGACCTTGGTCACCCGGAGTTTCGACAACTGTACTTGGGGCAGTAGGGTTCTCATTATCCCTCGAGCTCTTAGAATGCCTACTACTGCCACTATTACTCGACCCCTTACTGCTACTACTACTACCACTACTGCTACTGCTCGACATTACTCTACTTAAATAATTAACAACTTAAAGGCTCGAACTCTTACCTTAATGGCGATCGATCACAACCTACTATCCTTGAACTTGAGCTTCTTTTTATAGAGAGTGGAGAGTAAAAAGTGAAAATGAATAGTGGGGGGTATTTATAGGGGTCATGGGCATATCAACAGTCGCTTAATCTAAACCCTTAAACAGGACACGTGGCAAACATCCAAGTTCGAGCTCTGACAACCAGCCGCATGACAGACACGTGACACAGCAGATCTCCAGCAGGTAAATGACAGTGTCGAGGTCGATATTAAACCACAACATCCTTTTTGCATCTCAAACCGAGATCGTAGATTCTGCACGATCTACAGCTCAGATGCATGGGGGCCTATGATGACTCAGGTTTGTCTACCTCGAACTCGACTTCATTTCGCCCACAAATCTCGACCTCGACCTATGACCCCGGAGTTGTATAAGGTCGGGGTTATTATCTAATTCGACCTTACCTATCGACTCAATCTCCAAAAAGTAGACCTCATCTAAATCTACCCCTTCCCTGATTAGAACTCTAACAATACACTTCTAATTAAACTCCAACACCTAACCTTAAGGGGAAAATGACTCTTTCACTAGTAGAATCCTTCTACAGCTCCCCCCACCAATACCTATAAATACTTGGCTAAGGCTCAACATCAAGGTACACTTTTCATTACTGCAAATTCAAAACCTTCTCTCATCAATCTCCCCGTCTGACTTAAGCATCGGAGGGGCGACGAGAACACACATCGTTGCATTTTGTTTCAGGTATTGGAAGACTGTTCGTGCTCATTTGTGAGATTCAAGTTCGGAGTTCAAACTATAAATTCGCGGTCTATCAGGTACAACTTTTTGGTAGCATCACAACCTAATAACAGGACAATTACATATAAACTGTATTTAAGTAATTTAATCAATAAAATTCTGCCAGATCTACATGAATAAGCCAAAAAAGAAAAAAGCCGTATACCTATGCTCATTTTGATTTTAGCGAAAAGGCTACAGTCGTGCAAGCTAATTAACGCCACTGTTACATCTTTGTTGCACTCATGACTGCAATTTCCATCAATAAATTTGCATCGATATACAGAAATGTGTATTTTTAGTTAAATACCATTTGGCCAAAGCACTTCCGTCTTTGGCACGTTTGAGAGTATTTGTTGAAGAAGAAGATGATGAACAGTCTGCTTCCACTCTCTTCCTCCCTCTCAGTAGGTTCGAAGATTTCGATGCTCCACTCCCCGCCATTCGTATAGATTTTTTCGTGATGAAAAGTGGAAACAAAAATTTGATTGAGGCGGCAAAAATTCTGAAGTTGGCGCCATTGTTTTTAATATTTTTGGAAATTTAATCATATTAAATTAAGTCATAATTGAAAAATATAACAGAAGCAAGAGGTTCTCTTTCGTGATCCTAGCATTGCAATCCATGTTCCGACTTTGTCATTCGATAGCTGAATGTTTAGCCGTAGTTCGACATCCTTAAAATTTAAAAACATTGTTTTGAATATTATTTTTTGAAGAATTTGTGGCTACAATGTAAGAAAAAGTTTTGAATTTACGTGTAAAATATTTTATTATGTGAATCTGTGATTGAAAATAAGTGTGAAAAATAAAAATAAATTAGATTAAACTAAACGATGAGAAGGGCTTCGTGTAGAAAATTGGATAAAAAACGAGAGCACTTATTTCAAAAAAAATTATAAAGTAAAGTGTTGACATACAACTCCTATTTTCGAATCCCGAAGAAAATACACACAAAAACGACAATTTCATCAATATTATTTTTCTTTACCACCCAAAATAAACTAGTTTTCCACATTCATTATTACAATCATCTATGTATCTGCAGCAACAAAATTAATATACAATCCTCAATCATATGTTCTAAAATCCTATTTCTAGTGAAATGTATATACCTATAGTATGTAAAAGTCTGCCTTCTCTACGCTATAATGCTATCCCTTTCTTCCTAGTAATCTAGGAATATGAGAAGAAGAAGACGACCTCAAATACCTCGGCAACATCTCAACAGGGTTGGGTCGATATGATCGTTATAGTAACCTTTTATGACACCCCTATATGTGACGACCTAGTACCCGTCATAGATGTCATTTCATTTGCCTATTTCGCCACGTCCTCAACGTTGTTCTCCTCGACCAGTGATCACGCGACGAAGTCTGGCAACAACTGTGCAGCGAACCTCTTCCGGTTTTGAATGTTGATGTTTTCGTACACATTGGATGAATGAGGGGATGTTGGAGCGTTCATACCACCAAACTCATTTGCTTCACCGATTTCAAGTCCTCGTCGGAGCTGAATGCTTTGGTTTGGAAGAAAGGTTTGATGTGTGCCTGAAATGGAGAGATTTTCGCAGTGTGGGAGGCCGAGAGTGAGAGAAACGCCATTTCCTGAATACGGTGCTTGGAAGTGCTGGGCGTCATACCTTCCAATGTCCTCGATTGGATACGAATTAAATCCTGAGATGAAGTTAGTTGGAGCCCCCATTAATGTAAACTCACCCCTGCTCTGCCTCTCATTCATGAAGCTCATGGAAATTTGCTCATTGTTCGTCTCAATGGGCTTTAAATCCATATTTATGGATGGGACACTGTTTGGGGAATGTAACATTTCTACGCTGCTGCGGGTTTTCTTTGGACTTCCTTGAGTGATACTCTCCATTTCTGATGATCCAATTAGGTTGAAACCTGAATTGTTCCTGATAGTGGCTCCAGCCGGAGATGTCGAGGCTGTGGACATTAATGTTGCTGGATTTGTGTTCTGGTTCATGGGATTCTCTTGTTTTTCGACAAAATTCTTGTTTTGATTTTCTTTGATAGGCCTCTTTTCTTGTGGAATGGTGGATTTTGACACTGAATCTTCATTTTGCTCAATTTTGCTAGTCATTTCTTCTGGCCCTGTCTTTTCTTGTTCCTTAACCTCTTCCATATACATCTCCTCTACCATCGGCTTCCAGAGTCGAACCCGAGCATTGATGAACCAATTCGACACCTGAAAAATAATTTCCGTCCCACTCGATATTAGTAATTCCACTGAAAATAAGCAGAAAATGATCAAGAATATATGGGCTATTAGATACCTGACTCCTAGTAAGCCCTGCCTGTTTTGCAAGCATGATCTTGTCTGAATCCTTGGGATAACTGTAAAACAAGAATAATAACTAGTAAATCTTGATACCCAATTGCATTTTTATAAAAGGATATTTAAGGGATTTGGCTTTTAAACGAAGTGGTTCAATAGACAAGACTTACGGGTGCAGAAAGTGTTCGAAGAGCCAAGCACGAAGGACAGAAACAGACCGTTCGGGTAATCCTCTCTGAGGTCTCCAAGCATTATGCTGGATCATTCCCAATTGCTGTAAGGCTCTTTGTTGTCGAAGCTGATTATCGACGTACTTTAGCCTCGAACCCTCAATCTTCCCTATCAAACCATCGTCTTCTCCTAAACTCTTGCTGGCAGATCGAATTTGGCCTAATATGGCGTCTTTTAAGCACCGAAATTGCTTTGAGATTGTTTGCAAAGCCAGAGCAGTGTATGTCTTGGCAGAACCTATGCCTGCTGCTTGTTCAAACCATGAGGTTACAACATGCATCTGTTGGTGGTACTGTTTGTACCTCTGCTCAACCTTCAAATCACAAATTTCACAAGTAGAGCTTAGAAATGGATATGAAGCAACAATTTTTTTCATGAAAAACAAATATACCGTGTTCGACAAAGATCCCAGTAAATCATTTAATGGGAAAACAAAATTAAAAGACTTAATATGAATTTTTATAGATTATAAAACTGGACAGAGAGAAGAAAACATCTGACATGGATACCTCATGCTTGTAAAAATCAAAATTCAATTAGATTTTCAAGGTTTTCAACTTCAAAATCAAACGTATGCAGTACTGTATATATCAGCAATAACTCATCAAGATCATAACTTTATAGAATGCATACGTCTAGAATGATTTGAGTAAATAAATTTGTTCCTTTTCTGATTGCTTAATTTGTTAATAAATAATAACTGTGAAATTGTCGTTGTTTTGATTGAAAAATCATTGTAGACGAGGAGACGTGTCGAAGAAATAAGTGAACTTGTGTCTTACCTCATCAAGCATGTTCAGAAGTTTTGCCTTTTTCATCTGAATTTCCTGTCTTTCTGCTGTAGTGAGCTCAGTATCACGTTTTGCACTGGTGTCTCCTCCACTTTGTCCATCTCCGGCAGCCGGATGCGGCGGCGACGGTTCTCCAATATTCTTGGCTTGTCCATAAGGGTTCTCGGCGGATTCAGAGACGCTCTTTATAATTCCCTTACCAACACTAACAACTTCATCAAGAACTTCCTGTGCTGCCTTCAAATACTTAGAACTTAACAGCACACTTTGCATACCGTTCACACCGTTCGAAATCCCCGAAGCCGTCGCTGAGGACTGCGTCGGTGACCCTCCTGAAATTCTAACATCGTCGCCGCCAGCACGTGGTGGCGATACGGTGGTCGTAAGTGGTTGCGATATCACCTCATGTTCAGGCCTAAAAGATCCATACCCCGATGGCTGCTGGGAAGAGAGGCTCAAGGAAAGTCCTTGCTGAGCGCGTGTAACTTCACGCCCTGCCGTAAGGTCCATTGACGGAGCATACAAATTGTACGGCACGCGAGGGAAGAACCCGTGGAAGGGAGACGCATCATGCTGGGAATGGACAGGCGGAGCGTGAGGGTCTTGGGACGAGGCGGCGGTAGAAGAGTTGGCCTGTAAAGGAATACCGACAAAGTGCTGAGTTTGAGACGGTGGCGCGTGGGGTAAGTTGAGTGAGTTTCCGGTGGTGCTGGAGTTGAGAAAAACGAAGTTGCTACCCGGCGGGTGTGGCTGTTGATTGTCAGGGTATCCAAAACCAGGATTCATCAAAATCAGTGTCTGTAAGCCATCACCACCTCCCTGAATTTCTGAATTTCCATGAAAATACGTCGTCATCAATCTTCCAAATTACTGCAACAAAACAAACAGCTCGAATGAGTGTCCAAATCGTTATGTCTTTTTTCGTACAAATCGAAAACTCATCGACAAGAAATTTTTGTGTCTGTGAAACTACTTTCGGGTATATTAAATCATTTGTGATTGGTGATTACTGTTCAAGAAATTGTACAGGTTGACTGAGTAATAATCCTGGAAATTTCAAACAGTAAATTAATGATTAATTACTGACACCTCATATGTAATTAAAATTCTGTCAAATCCAAGAATTTACCCCAGAGAGACAGAGAGAGAGAGAGAGAGAGCAAATGACATGCAGTACATGAAGTTGTGTGTATCTATCTATAGATTTATACCAACGGTAGAGTACCTTCTTTACAGTGTCAGACTCAAATCAATGACTCTCTGCAACTTTCTCTGACTTGATAAGGAAAAATAAATAAAGTTAGTAGGGAGAGAGAGATGGAGGCTAAAAAGTTTGAGAAAAAGATGCATATCTTTATTCACTCAATAATCCACACATTTATAACTCTTTTTTAATTTCAAAAAATTCCCAAACAAGAAATTGAGAGAATTTCTTTTTTTAAAGTATCCCAGTACTGCAAGAAAAAGATATGAACACATATAAATAATATATGTATGTATATATTTCTCTATCCATTTCCCTCTTTCGAAAGAAATACCTGTGAAACTGGTCAAACAAGGGATGATATGACCCTCCTTTCTAAATCATTTGATGCAGCCAGGACTGATCCTTCCATATATGAGCTATAAAGAATTTTTTTTTGGAGAGAGAGATGAGAATGTTTTAGAGAAAGAAAGATGTGGATAGATATGTGTTTGTATGAAAATGCTTTAATCAAATGTGTCAGAAGATCAATACTTACAAACAGCTGAAAAACGAGGAAACGTCCCCTTCTCACTAAATATTTTATGCAATTCAATCAAGATTATAGAAAGAGATAGAGAGAGAAGAAAGAAGATTATGATGATGATCTGCCCATGGAGTTAACCCTTGGTGGAGGTGGGGTTCTGCTCTTATAGTATGGGAAAAATACTATGGGGTTACCCAACTTCGAGTTAAGCTTAATTTTAGTCATTGAACTTTGGTCGCCATTAATGTTGTTTCACAAAATTTAACTTCATTTCGTACTTTCCTCTTAATGTTGATTTATGGGTTGGACATCAAAACTCTCACTTTTAAACGAAACTCTTGCTAGTGACATGGTTGCAACTAATGCAGGTTTGGAAGACGAAATTATTATTTAAATGGACAACTAAATAATTTTAAGTAACATCGACAGTATGCACACAAGAAAGAATAATGCTATTTATCATTGGCGGAGATTATCACAACCTATTTGGCAATAAGTTCCCTGTTCATCGTATTAGCATTAAAATATATAACAACTTCATTAAAATATTTGATGATCTTTGCTAATAATGAATAATATTACTGTGGAAGAAACTCCTTATACGAATTAGGAAAAGACGTAAACTTTTGTGAAAATTGAAACAAAGCTGAGACTTGAGTGATGCTTCTGGAGCAAAATAAAGTTGGATGACTAAAATGGAACTTTTTTTGAACAAATCGAAACAAAACTAAAACTTGAGTGATGCTTTTGGAGCAAAATAAAGTTGGATGACTAAGATGAAACTTCATTCAAAGTTGAGTGACCTCTGGTGCTTTTTACCCTTACATTATTGAATCGTCTTTTGTCTTTTATTCGTTCATTTTTTATTTTCTTTTGTTTGCGTAATCTACATTTTTATTTTTATTTTTTATTTTTTTTTGTGGTGGTTAGGTGATAAACATAGTTTGACGATTCAGCATTTTAAATGCAAAGAAACATAGAACCAACTACCATTCTACCAGCTATAAATGCCAAAAAAAGGATAAAATACTATTATTTTTATTATTTTTGTGTATAAAAATTTGTTTTAATCAACGAAATATACACGTAAGTCTTGCAATTGTAATAAAAAATTCCAGCTGTCCTGCCTAAGTTTCATAATTAAAAAAACAGAGTAAAATAATTTAAATGGTGTTCTGTTTAACTACTCAATTTTTTAATTTACGAAACAAGCTAATATATCGGTTTACTGATTATGAATGTTCACGGTCGATTTAATTATTTTTCCCTAACTAATATATTAGTGAACTCATAACAATTTTTTTTCTTTTTTTTTTTTTACTATACATTAAAAAGAATACTTTTCAAAAAAATTTATTTTGAAAAAATCTTTATCAAACAGGGGCTAAATTAGAGCAACTATTTGTCCTACTTTATTATTATTATTATTATTAATTTTTTTTTTTGAAAAATGAGATGTATGATATATTTATCTATTATTAAAAAAAAAAAGAAGAAGATGTGTGATATATTTATTTATTTTTATATTCAATCTAACTTGTTGAATATGCCTTCATTTTCAAGCAAAATCCCAATTTCGTGACTAAGCCTTTTCATAACCGACTAGTTAATAAGTATTTATAAACAATTTAAATTAGAAACATATAAAAGGGAATGTTAGATAAGTAGATATTACTTGTAGAATAATTCTATTTGTACCTAATAGAATGTACTAAAAGTTGTCCCTCTCTCACAATGTATGCCAGTCCCCTTCTCACAATGTATGTTGGCCCCGTGGGAATATAAAAAATTTAAGTAGTTAGTATTGTAAATGGTAAGTTTATTAATTAATGACAATTGTACTCATGTTACCCTAAAAATTATTACTGTTATATCTCTGATTCTTACCTGTAATTATAAAAATTTTGTTCTTAATAAAACACATCAAAATTTATCGACTTCCATTCTCTCCTCTTTTTTCATAATACGTTATCAACATGTTAGTTTAATTTTTCAAAGTTTAATGAATGTAGTAATTTTCATAAGAATAAATATTTATCACATGTATCGAATTAATTTGATTGTATAATAATTACTTTGTCCTATTTGCATGTCGAAATTTACATGTATGTTTGGAGATTTTTTTTATTTATACATTTTTGGTAATTAATTTTTCTATATAAATTCATATCATACCTATAAATATTTTCAATTGTTCTCCTATAAACTATAAATTAATAATTTATCATATAGTTGCTCATGAAGTAGCACAACATTATAATTAATATTCCATAAGAATATTATCTTCTCTCGAAAAGTACGAATTATAATTTTTAATATTCCAGAAAAATATTGAAATGTTTCTTTTGAGGAAGCACAACTCTGTAAATATTATATGTCATAGAAAATATCCTCTTGAAAAGTTAATATTTTCAAAATACTATTTTGTTATTGCTTCTGAAGTAGCATACTATTATTTATGTTTTAGTTATATATTACTTGCTTTTGAAGAGTATAATTAAAAATTATGTTTTTACTCCCGAATAGTAAATTCTCGTACTATTTATCATTTCAAATATTAATACGTTATTGCTTCTGAAGAGTATTGTGCTACAATTTCAATATTTTTCAGAATAATATTACTATTAAAGAAGTGATAATAAAATATAACATGCTCTTGAAATAGCACATGTTTTGAAGAATATATCTTGCGTAATTTATGAATTCATGTTTATCCCTGTAGGAAACGTATAACTAACATCATCAGGATATTGATTAGTTTGGCTATTTGAATGATACATGATTGTATAAGTTTTAATCGTACTTTTCGAATTATATCTTATATTAAACAAGAAGTTTAATTTGACTTTATTGTTTGGCATGACCAATTAGATTATCACTAGATTAATAATGATGCGAAATTAAAAATTCAAGTGAATATTTGATGAAAAATTAGAAGATTCTTCAATTCAATTCTATATTATGTTTATTCTCTTTCATGAAAATTTTCCATTAACCATTACTAATTAAATTACGGATTGAATTTCTTATACTTCTGAAAATTAATTAGAGTGATAAATGGGGTCTCATCATCCTGCAAGTTGATCATCTAAATATTATTTGTATCTAACAGATTTGATACATATACTAGATGATTGCATGGTGTTCGCAACCCTAAAGTTTGAAAACTTATTATTTAAATTTTAAATTATGAGCATAATTTTCAAATTATATAATCAAGGTCGTGTTTTGTTAATGCTAGATGGCATAAATCTCAATATTTTAATAAGTGTTAGTTGGGATGTCTATAAATGGCTTTAATACTATTATTTGTTAAACGCCTCCAATTAATTTAACTGAAAACAAAATACTTCACACTTTTGTTTAGGGAATCATATTATGTAACATACCAATATCATAATTCTCCCTATTATAATTGCCTATGGTTAGAGCATAAATTTCCATCTAATTATTTTGATAGTATAGTATATGTAAAATTGAACCACCACAGTGCATTGAAATTGAAAATAAAGAATGCTAAAAACAAATGCATAGTTTGAATCCTTATTCCAAATGGACGATATTTTATAATGCTAAAAAATGATTGTTAATTTGATTGGACAATATTCTCAGCATTAAGGAGAATTAAGAAGTTGAAAATAATATACAAATGCATCATCATCTAAATTCTCGGAAAATATCATTTGATCTAGAAGTTCGAAAGATAATTTATTTATATGCATTTATTGATCAAAGAGATCAACAATATCTCACGCGCTAGTTTTAAATGCCCCAACACGAATTGATGTCCTATGAGGACAATTTGTTAGCACTATATTTGATATATCTATGACAAACTTGACGTGTGATGATGTTCAATTCTAATACAAAAAATCTTCAAACGAAAATGGATCAATTTGCAAAGATGGTCTTATTAAGTAGGCATATACTTTTAATAAGTATTTAGACATAACAAATTATAAAATTTCAGAAGAGGTTCAGGTATCTGAAATAATGAAATTTAAGATATCTCAATAAGTTATGTCATTATGGAAAAAAATAAATCAAAAAGAAAAAAATTGTCGACAACAATTTTGCAAATAATGTACTGCATGCATCATATAGCAAGAAATTAAAATAAATGCGTCGAAATATATCAATCAAAGTAATGATTGACCAAATAAAATAAACGCATGTAGTATAATTATTTTAGCGAATACTTATTGAAGGAAGGCTATAAAAATGATGATATCCGCCCATGTGTTTTCATAAAGAAAACAAATATTGGATTTGCTATTGTGATGGTTTACGTTGGTGATTTAAATTTAATTGAAACTCCTAAAGAGCTCAACAAAATTGCAGATTATTTGAAAAATGAATTTGAGATAAATTTTTTTAGGAAAAGTCAATTTCTGTCTCGGGTTGCAGATTGAACATTTTCCAAAATGATTATTTGTTCATCAATCTACATATATAGAAAAGTCTTAAAGTACTTTTATATTGATAATGCACATCCACTTGCATCACATGTGGTTGTTTGATAACTTGATGTGAAAAAATCCATTTCATTTACTTGAAGATGGAGAAAAGGTTCTTGATCGTGAAGTACCTCTCTTAATGCAATTGGAGCATTAATTTATCTTACAAATTACACTCGTCTCGACACATTTTTTTTTTTGTAAATCTTCTTACTCTTATAGCTCTACACCAACTTAAGGACATTGGAATAATGTTAAACATATATTTTGTTACCTAAAGGGCACTGTTGATTTGAGATTATTTTATTCTCAAAAGTCGATATCTGTTTTAGTAGGATAAACAGATGCAGTTTATCTCTTTGACCCACATAAAACTAAATCACAAATAGAATATATTTTTACAAATTGAGGAATAGCTATATCATGGAGATTTGTGAAGCAATCCTTGACAGTAACATTCTCGAATCATTATGAAATTATTACAATTTATAAAGCAGGCCGAGAATGTTTATGATTGAGGAACATGACCCATCAAATCCAAGCATCATGCATGTTAATTTCAACAAAATATAGTTCAACAATTTTGTATGAAGACAATGCAACTCGTATTACACAATTCAAATGAGGTTATATCAACGGTGACAGAATGAAACATATTTTTCCAAAATTCTTTTG